GACAATTATTCCGTGAATAATTTCAGCAACACACGTTCGTCGGACCACTTGGCAGATGACAGGCCGTCGAGTCGCAGAAGGTGTCGACTTTAGAAGGATTCGCGCACGATGTGCGACCGAGGTTGTTAACAACACAACGCAATACCTTCTCAGTGTTAGCCGCGAATCGTTTCGAGGGAGGGAGAAGCACTGCTTTGTGGTACACGTGTGTATTGCATAAGAGGCGTGACACAGCGAATAACACATCATGTTGCGAGGAGCAGCAGCGGCGATCGCAGGACTCAAAGTGCGAACATCTCAGTGAGCGAGCGAGCGAGTTCGCTGCATCGGCCGCATTACATAAACTTAGAGGCGATAATAGCCGCGTAAATCTGACGAAATCGTCGCGATCTTCGGCATTAACGTCTTTGCGGCGATGTATTGCGACAACCGGAGAGACGCGCTTCGAAAACGCCTTTGACACGTTGAGAATGCCCGACACTGTGTCACTTATTACATCTACAAAATTAGTTGTACGGTCAATTAAAAAGCTGTTGAAAAATAATACATGACGAATTACGTATCGTTGGCAATTCAATTATCGATTGGACGCGAGCAATGATAAATCAACGTGTCTCGCTGTTCTCGAGATGAATCTTTGCGCGAAACCGCCGGGCAAAATTAGTAGACGCGACCCATTATTAGGTGCAATCGGCGGCGGTAGTAAAAGCGCGTGCGGGAGAACTCATCAGTCCGTCGTCGTGTCCTCACATGATGGATCTTTTATTACCGAGCCGAAAGGGTGTATGTATCGTGACGGCTGTCGTCTGAATGCGCGCTCGTGTTCACGAGAGGAGAGCTATCCTAATTTTACGCCGTCGGGTTACTGGACCTTACGTAACCGCAAAACTCGAGCGCTAAGTTTAGTTGGTCTAGCGTGGATTCCGTTTCCGGAGACGCCGTTCGTCTCGGTGCACGCACCTCGACGAGACATCCAATTCGCATACGATTAAAAAGTTACACCACTGCAACGAGCTAGGCTTAGAAAAAAATTAGATGATTACGCACGCAAACTGCAATAAAGTTCACTCTGTGAAAAATCGAGTAGGAACGGACTCTTAAGAATCAGGACGGTTACATACTCCCAAACTTAAATTCATTCGTTTGATCTTTTTATTCTCACAGCGTATAGCATCTCTAGAGAATTTTAGAGAGTACGAAATATTAGCGAGACGTCACACTAGGTGCGTGTCGATTTGCTTTGCGCTTCACAAATTGATTACCGCATTAAGAGAATTCGAGTGTCGATGAACGCGCTCTCTCTCTCCGTGATCAGGGAGAAATATATTCACATCACGTTTCGACCGTTTGACATTCGATTGAATCCTTGTCTGATGGATCCTTTTTTTTCCCTCCCCATTATTCTCCGTTTTCGCGTCTTTTTCCATCGAACTTTGGTCTCCGTTTAACCCGAACGAATCGGCACGATACTCGCGCTAAATATGGAACCAGCGCAGAACACTTGGATTATTTCGGGAACGGCGAGCCTTCCTGGCATTACCTAGGTAGTACGTGTGCGACCGCCTACCAAATCGCATCGTTAGATAGAGAAGACGATGGATCTCAGGATATGCGTGCGATTGATATTTGTTCGAGATCAGCCAGTACTTAAACATTCAATATCGGCGATTCTATTGGTCATTTTTTATCGACATATTCTGAGAGAGAATCTCCCAACCGCGACGCCACCCATATTACATGTAGCGTACCATCCAATATTTTCTTATGAAAACCCGACGAATCTCTCAGCAGCGTTTTCCTTTGAGTTTCAAATCAGTTTGCGATTGAGAACTTGTTTTTTCGCGATCTTCGTATCGTCAATGATACTCCTTCTTGAACGCTGAATTTAATCATCTCGGTGGAAACACAGTCGCGGAAGTGCGTGACCGGTAGCCTCGGATCAATTTTCGAGAGTAGTTACGCGACGTCAAACGTTATATATTCTGACTGTTCCCGAATCCACGTGAAACGCGTGACGCGCGAAACACGTCAACGACCACACTCCCTCGTGACCGCGGATCTCTCCGACTGCCACAATTATCGCGGAAAAGTATTCACCCGCCGCTAATTTCTTGGACCGCATTTAAGATTTCAGAATTTTTTGTTTTGAAGATATAGAAAATTTATATTAACGCTCGCGATACATATATATATATATATATATATATATATATATTTAAGTATTTATACACCACTTTCTGTTATATGTGCATCTCTATTAGCTCAACTGACATATAAATAAAACATTGATAAAAAACAAATAATATTTCTTGTAATATTGTATACACATGGTTGCCTTCGCGCTCACACAGTTTATCACTTAGATAGTTAAATAAAGTTATGGGAAAGTTTCTTTCAGTAAATAATAATAAACTTATGAAGGGGCCTTTTAATATTGAAAACCGGATACTCTATGGATCAACTGCCTTAAAGAGACGAGCATATTTCTTCAATACAAATTACATATTCCCCACTATGATATTATAGGCCGTTTAATCGATCGAAATAAAGTCACGCGTACGTGACAGCAGCCGTCAAACTGTTGCTGGCTTTTCTCCAATTGTTTTCCTTTCATTTTTTTTTACGTTGCACCTCGCAGCAACAATCAAACGGAGGATCTTGCTAAATTTGTAGCGACACGAAATGCCAGCTTCTAAACTCACCGGCATACCAGAGTGTAATGACACTTGGCAGGAGCGTGTCGGGTGTTGGCACCGAGGAGTTCGCAGCGAACTCGGCCGAAAAAGCCCATGATTCACCTTTTAATTGTCGTTTGAATGGATCTTGAGCTTAACGAGACGAGAGATAGTTTTTGAAACTGATTATAGGAAAACGAATGACGGAAATTAATCTGCCAGTTTCCTTCACAAAGCTGAGAAATTGAGACGCCTCTAAGAGAGACCGGTTTTATCTTTCACTCGGTTTAATGAAAACGCAGCGATAAAAACCTAGCAACAAAAATAGCACCATAGTTTCATTATACGCGTCGTATCATTCGCGGCCTTCGTTGACCTGTCCCGCTGAACGTGTCGATCGGATGAAAGTGAATTTCAAACGTGTAAATCCGACTTGATCGCGCGATTTTATCACGCTGTTTGCCGCCTATCGCCCGGGAGTGACAGCTCGGCGATGTTTTTACATTTGACGTTTACGTCGCTTTCGAGACGACCTCTGAACATTTCGCATAAGTTTTACATAACCATTCAAATAACAAGCGCGCGAGACCACATTGTGGAAAGGGGGGAACCGACCTTAGCGTTTATTTCCATATGATTTACGGATGTTGCAGCCGCGCGCGCCAGCGAAGGCTCTCCTCCCTCTCTCTTTTTCTCTTGGCGCGTACATCGTATGATACGATTTATGCAAGGATAACATTTCGCGCGTGTGTCAGAAATTTTACAATTCCATTTTGACGAACGCTAGCATTCTTCAATTTCCTTCATGTGCTTTCCCTGTGTCTGATCGATAAGTCCTATCTTTCCCGATGAAAATCCCACATGGAGATACCGTCATATTTTTATTGAAAGATTTTGACGAACAATAGCTCGAGAGCAGGATGAAAGCACTCTGCGTGTCGTAAGAGCGTAACTTACATACTTCCTTTCTCCATGATCGCCGCGAGAATGTTCAAGATTGAAAATGTCCAGCGGGGCGATATGATGCATGTCTTCTTTCCGTTTTTATCAGTGTGAGAACAACAATTATCAGCGGTTATTTCTCTTTACGAGCTTTCAGAATGCCTATGTGTGGCGAGGATATGTACAGAGTAAAACTCTGACTATCTCGGCGCGTTATTCCTTCCGCGACCCTCGCGCACTTTTTCTGACCCTTTGCAGATATCGTTGAGTTATGCTAAACATTCCGATATCAATATTTCTCGCCTAGCTGGGCCGACGAATCGACGTGTAAGAAAATTTCGAAACCCCCTTCTCCTGCGATGTCTGTGATAATAATCAATGTTGGCTCCATAGAGAGAGAGAAATATCAAGTATAACGGCTGAACTTTCCGCGATTAGTTTCTGTTATGCTGCCATCATTTGAAAGAGGTTTTCTCCTCGGACCATCCTCGATAATGGTCGACTGCATCTGAAAACATCTCGCTTCAATTACTACCTACGACGTTACTATTTATGAACTCCCCGTAACCCTGGATTGCATAACCCAGACCTCCATACGGGTGCCCCGGGTTGTGAGCGAGGCCCGTCTCAAACTGTCGGATCTCGAGAATGAAACTCAAAGACACGATCAATAACAGCCGTATCTTGCGCAAGATTTCGATGAAACTGCGAGGAACCTTAGATCGTCTAATTGACACGTTATCGTTGGGAATTTGTCCGATCTCGCGGCGAACCTACCGGCGGCGACGTTCTGTTGTTTGTTTAGCTGCTCAAACAACCTCTGCTCTCGTTTGTGCACGGTCGTTACCTCCTCTCTCGTCGATGACACGCGAGGGACGCGAAAACGCGTAGCTCAGCTGGGAGTTAGCACCAGGTGACAATTTTGGGACGCAAGCACACACGATTGTCATCGCGCGCGTACTGACGATCGAAAAGAGTCGTCGAATTTCAATTTCTCACCCGCGACCTTCAATTTCTAACGCTTGTCTGATAAAAGGGACCTGGAAATCCGTCGATGTCACGCCCGCGATTTAAGAAAAATCTCATGTTGGAGGAAGAACATTACTCCCTCCCAAGATCTACCTTGTGTATTTTTATTCCTCCTCTTTCACCCACAAATGTTGGTCGACTCGCGTGTTTGAAACGGCTTCTCAAAAGCTAAAGTAGCGTCTCGAGATCATCTTCGACAATTCATTAAACGCTTCGTAGACGTCAAAATATTCTTTATATGCGAAATTAATGCGACTCGGCAATGCAGCTAGGAAACTTCGTCCGATGGATGCAACTTTCTTTAGCGGAGATTATTTTAATTTTAACTTGTTTAATTTCGTTTGTTCTTTCTAGCCATGCCACAGAAAAATGTCAGTGAGGATAGCAGATCGGAGATGAGCTCTCCCGAGGTGCCCTCCACCTCGCATGATTTTGGGCGAAACGCCCAACACAGCGGTAATCAGACAACTACCGCTAATACCGCGGCCGGCGTCACGCGTAAACGTCGCGGCAACCTGCCGAAGCAGTCGGTAAAGATTATGAAGCGTTGGCTGTACGATCATAGATTCAACGCTTATCCAAGCGAGGAGGAAAAAATGGTACTCTGCAGGCAGGCCGGCCTCTCCATGCTGCAGGTAAGTGCCCGTTCCAACCTTTTCTCCCGCCGAGGAATCGATCGATACGAGATTAACCGGCTGTATAGAAGCAAGGGGAGAATAGGAGGGGAAGAAGATCGGTTGTTGAGGCTTCTTGGTGCCTCCTGGTAATTGACGATTTTCCTTTTTGCAGGTTTGCAATTGGTTTATTAATGCCCGACGCCGGATCCTACCAGAAATATTGCGCAAATCTGGTGAGAATCCCGACAGATATACCATATCGCGTCGCAGAAGAACAATGGGACAGCAGCAGCACGCCAACGCAAGGCATGGCCGAAATGCCGCTGCCTACGAGGACGCTGCACAAAATCGTCGCGTTGATCATGACTACGATGAGGCGGATAATCTGATATACCGGTAAACATCCTCCTTGTTTGTTTGTTATACATTCGAGAAACATTTCGACAACGAATGGTTCCGATTCGCCGGTATTTCGATAGCTCATGCCGCCAAAAAAGCCGCTTTTGAAATGGCGCAATAAGTTTATCCGTCAAATTGAGAAAATTAAGATTAAATAAAAATTACATTACCAAGTATCCGGACTATTTACTAAATGGAGAGAGCATAGGTACATATATAAGTAAGTTACACGTATGCATATACCGATTCGACAATCCAGCCCATATAGAATTTTGCAATTAGCTCTAGTAATCCGGTTCGCTGATGCTATTGTAGTGTTGCAGGGAATCCTGCCCGGTCGTTGACCACTGGCCCTTATTTTAACACGTGGATAAAAAAATGTTTAGTACTTGAAAATTTCATTTTTGACTATGATCATTTCATAATACAATTATAGTCGCAAGTATCAAACATTTTTTTCAGTGTACCCACGTTGTTAACGCATTGAATGCCATGTTGATTTCTGAGAGCAAAGCTCAACTGCAGTTTTAATAATCAAAGTTTACCTAAATTACGGTGCATTTCCGGACATATATATTCGTTAGCTGGTTTGCTTCTTATGGACCGCATATTCAATGTCCATTAAGTGCAATTAGTGAGGTAAAATAATGAGACCTCCGCGTCAGTCACCGATGACCGCTATGAAAGTCAACACATATTGATATATATTTATGAAGCTGAATCGTATCTCTCTTTCTTTCGTAAATTAAAGGCTAAATAAAGGTAAAAGCTTCGCTAACTCCATGAAATGTTGACATGAATAAATTTACAGAAGCGAGGAAGACAGTCCCAACGACTATGAAAGCACTAGTTCTCACAGTGAGGAGGAACGTCCCACAGCACAGTGGCCGAATGTTATCGTGTGCCATTATGCCGAAAATAAAACTGCACGAGACATCCACTTTGACAGAGACGCGATTTCGCATCAGCCAAATTTTATGCAAGTTTTATGTTGATTTATAAGAGTTATCGGGTCAAAAAGTTCAGTTTAATTTTTCGAATCGCAATTTCATTGTTGCACCCAATGGAAACGAGTATTTCGCCAAATACGATCATCGTTGCTTTCGCATTTCGGCGATGTTCTGTCTCTCTTTGGACAAAATTTCGTTTTTCTCTATATACAAATATTCGTTTACCTCTCTCGTAGACCAGATTACCTTTGGAAACTGAACTGTTTGACTTATTCAGTGTGCCAAGTGAGGAACTTGGGTTCGAGTGACTATTTCATGTGAGAATCCGTACAATTTATCATTTAACGTAATACTTGTGTGAAAAAGGAGATAATTCTTATCGGGAGAGGTTTTTCCAAAACGATTTTTTTCTATACGCACTGCTCGACTGGTATATAATGTTTGTTATATATTTGTATACGTTTCAAATTATTTCATATAAATTATTAACAAGTTGTATTGTCGCGTAACTTAAAAATTAAACACACACACACACATATATATATGAGTGATATTAACGTCTCGCCACATACATAAGTCCAGTTTTTAACGTTGTTGCGTTAAGAATGCAATAGAAGCTCAATATAAGTCTCGATGTGCCACGAAGAGGAAAAGAAATTCTCACAAATGTCACTTACACAACAGACATTCTCTTTAACAACATGTTGAAACATGATCAAAATTATTCAAAATTACGCACCGCTCATTCATACGTGATCAGAGCATGGAAACAAGTGATTGTTTCACGAGTCAGTAGGGAAGGAGCGAAAAATTCCCGTTCGGAAACCTATTGGCTATATATATTATCTCTAACTTACGCAAGATTTTTTTCGTGAATATATTTATCGCAAGTGCCAGCTGACATTTACGACAGGCGTGAAAATGCATGACATGGTGAGCAAGGCACTTGTATAGGATTTTTACGATATAGAGCCGAGAGTCCGTGTGAAAAAAGCCAGAAAATGATGTTTTCAATCCAGTGTGATCTTCAAACGCGCAGCTCGGATGTTCTCGGACCTATTTTCCTCTTTGCGTGAAGGATTATCTTCAGACATAATAATCGAAACGTGATTTCCGTCTTGTTTGCAGGAATGAGATTGGACCCAGCGGCGAAACCCCTGGCTATTGGAGCGCCCCGCGAGAACACTCGTCACCGCGGGTGATGCCAGACGTCCGTATGGAGGTACCGGGCGTCGTAGTACCGGAAGTCGCGGCGGAAGTCGCGACAACGGAAGCCGCGGCACAGAACGGCGTACCAGACGTCGAAATGGCTCCCGAGGCTCACCCCGCGCCATCCGCGGAAGAATCCCGCCTCGCGGTACTGGGGGATAGCGCGATAGAAGAAGAGGTTGACATCCTCCAACTGACCCACCAGCGGGATCAAGGAATGTGGGGCATGTTACTGTTGGCGGTTGTGGCCCAGAACTATGGCGCTAACCCGAGCTTATCGAGACACCGCGAGAGGCAAGGCCTGACAACAGCGAACAGAGATGAAAACGGGGGTAAAGTTGAGGGGGAAAATCGAAAATAACGACCCCTCTAATATTTTGACCGTTTGTGATTGTCGCCGACGTGTACACTCGTTTCTTCAAAGATGACAACACTTCTTTTCTTTTTTTCCATATATTTCGGAATGCAAGCTATGTTCGATAAATGAGTTTGTTGCTTCATCATTTGCGCAAGATTCTCTTGCGAAGTTGTTCTTGTTGAAACGTTAGTTATATGCTTTTCAAAATGCGTCCAAGCTAAATTTGGAAATGTTCATCTCGTAAACGAGAATAAATCATCGACGATAATAACAAACGTTACCCCTGTTATCGTGACACGAATAGATTCCGTTTGTCGAATAGCTAATCGGCAAACGGCAAATGATATTCGTGATCATGAAATATTAATAATAAATTTCCCCCGCATTTTTCTTAATCTTTTTTTTTTTTTCTTTTTTCTCCTGTCGGTACAATGATATGTCATCGTCGCGTTCGTCTCATCGCGGACGCAACTATACGATGAAACGGAGGAGAAAGGGCCTAACGATAAATAAGAAATGTTGGATACATCGATAACTGGGCCGAATTTTTAATTGGTCGAGAATCGGCGTTCAATATGACGGCCCAAACTGATATATACCTTTACCTATAGGATACATAGTGACTCTCACGCGAGAGCATCGGATCTTGTCGCGAACGTAACATATCTGTTTTTATCGATTCTCATCTCGAGAGATTTTAAGTGTTGTTTTACGTTCGTAAATGACGTAAGTTTGTGGTACGATAGTTGAAAGAAATTATGTGTGATGCATGAGCGACAGAGGAGGAGGCGAACAATTGAACGACACGGAGCCGTACCTGTCGTCTCGCGGCTTCTTTCTCCTCGCCACCCCTCATAACGACCGCAAAAAAAAAAGAAGAAGGAAAACATACGATCGAGCAAAAAAGTGTCCTCACGCGCGACGATGCTCATTCACGGCATTACCGAGATCCGCGACGGCGTTGGTTAGAATTTTAAGCATATTTACCGAATATAGACGTATAAGTGTACACACATATATATATATATATATATGCGTGTGTATCGATCATCCCAGAAGTGAACTGTAAAAAAAGGAGTTTCCTTTCCGTTGAACAAATGAACAAGTAGTCGCGCGCCTAGAAATTCCAACAAAAATCACATTTCGTCTTATTCCATCATGTGGACTCGCAATACCTCGCTATCTTATGGTTAATTTTTCAGTTCCACTTTCTATAAAACTCCAGGGATACTCCGCAATTCTGTCGATCACCATACGCGCAATTTATGAGATGACCGATACATACATATATATTACCAAACAATAATAGGATTTTTTGACGAAACATGCCCGCCCGAATAACACGAGACGTCTGCTTCCTACGTGTGAGAACATTTGAATATATACGTATATTCAGGCATTTTGTACATTAAAACGCGGAACCGCGTACGGTGCACGGCGTAATGACGTCACGTATCGGTGATAAATTTGAACACACATTTCGATGGTGTTCGTGAAAATGCTCAAAGCTGGTCTCGTGGAGTACACGGAACGCTATTTCTAGGGCGTTAACGATGGAGGACCGCAATCAGTCAATCGATTGATCGATCGACGTGTGCTCGCGCGACGCAACACACTTGAGAAACGCGTCCTCCTTGAATCCGTCTGTTATCGACGATAATCGGCATAGCATCCTTCCACGGACATCTCAACGGCCATCGAGATCCGAGGTGATTCGCTGCGACGCACCAAGATCTTGTACATAAATCACGGGAGAAAATGGAAGAAAGATCTAAATTTAGAAGAAGAGATTCTCTCCCTTACGATCGCGGCGGACGATACATCGTTCAAATATCAAATGGCACGCACGTGTACGTGCGCGCAGTCGCTACAAAAAGGAAAATGATCACGTATAATAGACGCACGAAAGGAATCTGTGTCGAGTTAAACCGAAACCAACGAGTGCCAAAGTTGCTAGCCGAGCATCGCGCGAAACCTTTTGCCTTATAAGAGAAACAAGTCTGACAATTATGTAAGCACGCTACTAAGAAGAAAATTAAGAGAAGAAAGAAGAAGAAACATGCAAAAAAAAACAGTAGAAAATAAGAAAGAAGAAAAAAAGTATCACGCAACCGCACAAAAGTACAAAAGTATGTAGATTTGTTCTTCGTATTAAGGGGCGAGAAGGAGAAAACGACCGGATTAGCTAACCGAGTAGATAGAGAAGGAGAGGTATCCGATTATCTATCTTCGCCACATCGGGTTATTAAGTACCTTGCGTTAAAAATATAATACCGTTTCTAGAAACAGCGTTCCTGCTCACGATAGTTTCTTTTTTCCTTTTTCAATGCTAATTTTTATTTCGATATATAAGTATATTATATATCGAAGATATACGAGATATATTACAATATCTTTGTATTGTAATATCTTTACAACGTTTATATAAGTAGGTCATCGTAGAGAGTTACGACATCGGAAAAAAAAAGCGAAAAGAAAGATGCACATTGTTCGCGCATCCTTCTTTCTCGCAAGAGGGAGTTCAGTTCGCTTTTTAAATTTTAAATTGCGCGTCCCGAAAAAAGAAAAAAAATCGAATCTTCCCAACAGTACAATTGACAGGGTAGTATAACGCGCTCTCAAGTGCATTATTAATTTTTTCTTCGCCACTCACAGTAAAACATGATCATATATATTCATCGTTCGTGATGCTCCATAATTTTGGTATTTCCTCTTTCTTCTTATTCTTTGTTTTCTTTTTTTCTCTCCGACGACGTTCAAATTCTCCAATCTCGATCTAGACCGCGTCCCCGTTCAGAACCTTCGATACATAGTCTCCCACCCTTTTTTTTTCTTTTAAAATTTGCTCGGAGAGAAGCGGGACATCGCCTCATCCCTTCCTCATGACGATTTTTTTTCACTCAGGTTTCCCGTCTCGATCAGTTAAATGGCTTTCCGCTTGAACCGCGCTCTACCGTCGACCCGTTGCTCAACTTTCGCGACGAAGCGCGAAACCTCGTAGGGTCGCTCCCGCTAATTTTTCGCTCTTATCATAATTTTCGCGTCGCTCAACATCAACTTGACCGACGTTGATCTCGCCGCGCACCCGGATCGTTCATCTTAAAAAAGAAAAAAAAATGTATTATTTTCCCCATCGTCGGGCGATTCGCATTTACTTGTCGCGTGTATATTGTAACGCGTGACTCAAATCAAAATTTACAAACGCGAGATATATATATACATATGATATATACATGGATGTGCGCCCACATCTCTACACGCATACACACACATATATACCAGGCTGATGCATTTTCGCACAAATCACGCTCCTCGATGGGGAGGGCTGGGGATGGCGATTGTCCGTTCGTGTACGAAGTACCGAATAATAAATTTACTATCATATGTATATATTTATATACAACGAGCACAAAAAAGAACGAGAGGAGGAAGGGGGGATAACACGCGGCATAGAGAGAGAGGTACAAACACCAAAGACTTTATTTTACTAGTTACTAAATAGTTAAATTTTTGCTGATTGTTCCGTTAGTGAACGAAATTGTAAGATAACGACGTGGTGTGCTGTGGTGTGTAAAAAGAAAGAAGGAAGTGACAAGAAGGTGAAGGAGGCGTGTATGTATGGAAGAATGCGAGAGACAAAGTGAGCGTATCATGTGAGAGTCCGCTTCGAACCCTTTCGTGCAATCTCTCCGTTGCACAATTGAATAATTAACGCGTTGAATCGAGATAATCTGCCGTTAGTAAAGCGTGTTATCGGCGTGATGACGTTAATGGAGGAGGAAAGGGAAGGGTGTGTGTGTGTGAAGCTGTGTTCATGGACAAAGTTGTTGACGATGTACAAAGTGCGATTCAAATCTATTTTAATACGACAGTAGTGTCGCACAATCCTAAGGTGATCTTGTTATACGGTAATAAGGACGATAGTTGTATATGTACTATTAACGGGAGAAAAAAATAGTCGAAGGAGAGAATGTATGTATGAGAGAGAAAAGTATGGATCATCATCATATGACGTCAACGTCGCCGCGACACGATGCAATCAATTGCGTGCGAGGAAATTTTCGTTTTCTCACGCGCCTGCTAATTTTAGACGTACCTAACTTGATCCGACTCGCGTCGTTGTTAAAACGATTTACCTTGATAGATGTCTTATTTGCGAGAGGAAAAATAGATAGAAAGAGAGAGAGAGAGAGAGAGAGACAACCATTTCCCGGCGCTTCCAGACACCGCTTTCTCTTAAGATCGATTGATTTAAGCGCGAAACGATCGTTTGGTCATTCGTCGTCGTCCTTTTACGTATTATGCGAGCAAATGAAAACCGCGCGTTTCGAAATGTCAACGCCGTCTCAGGCTGTGACGCGATTCAGGGTATTATACGATTATTATCTGGATAGATGTCCCTGAGGTGGCTGGTTTCCACCTGGAATGAAATCTCGACTAGTGGAAAAAATATGGAAGTGTTGTTTGCCATATTTGTCCGTTGCATACGAGTTCCCTAGTCGCAGTTCTCGCGAGAGATCTTGATATTTTAATATTTTTAATTCTATAATATATGTTTCTCCCTTCGCAATTGTATTAACTTTTAACGTCAAGTTTTTCTTCTTGTTAAGGTCTTTAGCTACTTAAATTCCACTATTGTTGTTGCGACTTAACTTAGAATATTCGATTAATCTCGTGAGAGCATTCAGGTAATGCTCGTATAAATGAATACCCGTTATTATCGGCATGAAATCAATCCGATATATATTGACAACGTTGACTGGCACGCGCGGTCAAAGAAGCAGAAACTTCGGGATTTAGAAGGGGACGACGACGATAATATCACGCGGCGATCTCAATGTGATATCGACCGATTTTCGTCTCGCGGGTCGTACTTAGAATCCTGTCTTCCGTTTTTTTTTCTCCTTGTTTTCGTCTTGTTTATTTTTATTTTTTGACTTTTTTACTTTCGCACCTTGACGTGAAATAACGAAGAATATACAGAAACGTTTCTCTTGTCGCGCGAATCCCTTCATCGATCGAAGGAAAACACGTGCAAATCAACGCGATTTTTCTCCTTCATGTGCCGAATCTGGCCACACTGCCATGTAGCGATCGAGATTTCTTAATCTCGATCTGTATTTCTTTCTCTCTCTCTCTCTCTCTCTCTCTCTCTCTCCGTTATAGAACGCGCGTTATTGTCGATTAACATTATATATCGAGCCACAACATAAAAACACACACATACACATATGGATGCGCGAGAGCACGTGCGGCATCCAAGGTCCTCGACAAAGGATCGTTCGAATATCATTGTCGTTGTTAAACTCCCCTGATAATGACCTAGAATTAAGGGTGCCTTCATGTCGAGACGTTCCGACACGGACGTCCTTGGCGTATAGTTTAGCATGTAATAGTTAACCGGCAATATATCGTTACAGATGACAAATCGCGAACTCCATCGAGAGAACGGCGAACAACCAACCGCTAATGTTTCTCCGATCAATGCCAAATTTCCTCGTAGTGATCTGGAAAAACGATTGTGTTGCTATCCCCCTCCCTCTTTCTCTCTCTCTCTCTCTCTCTCTCTCTCTCTCTGTATATATATATCTTGCACTCTTGCTTTTTTCGCGACACTCGCAATCGGTCGGGATTTAATACACTTAATTCCTTCCAGCGGGAAATGAACATTAAATCGACGTTTGACGTCGATTCGATAAGTTATTTCTCGTTGGGTCGCCGTTCATCGACGAAAGGAAAGGTACTTACCGATATGTCCGTTTATCTTTCTTTTTCTTTGTTTCTGGACGTTAAGTTCGATACGCCTGATAAACGATCTCGCAACTCGGTACAAATTCTAAGAGCGAGAAAAGTAAGTTTACCGGGCGCTGATGCCAACCTGTTGCAGCTATGCCGGAAGGGGGGAGGGGGAGGGAGTTTCACTCTCCGCGCCGATATCCGCGAGCGCATAGACAATAACTCAATGCATTATCATAGCATGAACGTCATCTGACCGGTCTCAAAGCGGATATTCGATTTTAAGTTTGGTTCATGCGCACGCTCTCGCAAGTACACACACACACACACACACGCACAGATACACACTAGCAGGCATACACATACAGCGTGAAATGTACACGTGCCATAGAGACAGATCGAACGTATTAAACGTTAGTACGCGCATACATATGTACACACAGCGCGTGTGAAGAACATATTAATTTAGGATTACATTTAACGTAGTTGTTACTAATTGCGTCACACAGATGTATACACATTATTTTGTCCTTTATATTCTTCGCTCTTTTTCTTCATTGACCGTAATTTCTATGCGTTTCGCTGTTCAAAAGCGATCCGCACGTGACCTGACTCTCGCGGTCCCGGTGGTCTTCCGCGATTTCGTTTCTTTTCATTTTCTTTTTTTTTCGTTTTTGTCTCTTTGACGTTCTCGAGATGCGAAAGATATGTCGTATTCTCCCGCGGGAGGTGCGGACAGGCGAATGGTATAACGCGAGAAAGAAGGAAAGCAAAGAGGAAAGTTCGCCTCACGCGGCGATTATTATTCGTGAATTTTCTCGTTTTTCTTCAAGGACGATGCGAGTCCATAAAACGTAATTTAGGGTTAGTATTATTGCATTAAGGTACTGTTCGCGTCGCAGACAAGATAACGAAATAAAAGCATGTTGTGAAATTTTAAGTGTCTACCGTGTTCTCCTCATTCATCTCTAACACCTTCCAATCGACACGCGATCGATCGTACCTTTGATCAAATGCGAAAGTCATTTCAGATACTTTTAACACGTTCGCTACCACCGTCACATATGTGTGACAGCAAACTTCTCTATGTTCACATTATTGAACAATATCCGTTTTACACAGTTACGTGAAAAAGAAAAAAACGAACGAGGTGGTCTCCTCCAAGTAAACTCTGGTAGCGTCAAGATTCGAAACCAAAACCCGACTCGATTAAAGAGAAATTCATCGAAATGGAAAAATAAGAAAATAAACCATTCGCTTTTATGGGCGAGGCTCTAGTTTTACTTTATGTTTGATCACTGATTTGTCGTCAGAAAAAAATCCGCGAGGATGAAATTCTTTCGCGAGTCGTCGCTGCAAGCTTATCGTTATTCTCACACCTGTCGTTTTCATCATTGTTAACGGTAATCTCATTATGCTCCAACCGTAACTACCTTTCCCTGTTTAACCCCCTTTTTTCTCTCTGCGGCGGCGGACGCCTTTACCGCTATCTTCGTAGATCCCCTCGATTTTCCCCTTTTTCATTCCCGGCCGGCTCTTTCATTTGCGTAACGCCTGTCTTCCTTTTCCGTGTGTCTCTTCGTTCTCTTGTTCCCAATCTTTCCATATTTAGATCCAGAACAGCGCCGGCTGACTCGCGCGAAGCAGGTTCGCGGTATGCGCCAGTTCTCCGCTATTCCGGGCGATGCATTGCGCGACGTATTTTTATTCCGCGCGATCAACGCCGAAAAATCGACGAGACTCTCAACGTTTAACGCGCAAACGGGCGTGTAACTTTTTGAGAAATAAAACAACTGCTCTTCATAGATGAGATTCTCGAATGTTATTGACGCTATTTCGCTAAATCCAAGAGTAAATGGTAGAAGCAAATTACTGAAAGCGCGCCGATGTGGCAGACAAAAACTAGAAACATTCGTTTATACGTCGATTTGACGCGTTCACTTACGAATGCAAGATTCGTCCGGTGGAGGTATCAGTGGGAGCAAATTGTTTTTAACCGCAACATTTTTCCGATTCTAATGAAACTCGAGAGAAAAATACCTACTTTCTAAGAGGATACTTCGCGACCACCTTCTGTTCCCCTCGCATTAAATAGATAAACGAAAAGTATGGCTAATCTTTTGTTCCTGCAAACTATTTATAACAAGCGAAGAAAAATTCGAAGAAATGAGAGAGAGAGAGAGAGAGAGAGACAGGGTGTTCGCGCGCAAGGTGGGAGAGCGCGCGTCGCCGTGCGGAAACAGCGGCGCGTGCGGGAACGCGCGCGGTTACTCTGAAAGTCGGTATCGCGACGTCGGCGCGAGAGCAGTGGACTGACTTGGCGAGTGAACGCACGGGACCGAATCCGGTGCACATCCGCCGAATCGAAACAATCGCGGACAGATTCGAGTCGACGATAAGACAGATAGTGGCCTCGCTGAGAATGGATAATCGAGTCTAGACAAATCGATGATGATCATCGCGGAGGAGTGATTAATCAAAGCCAGCGAGATCGACGAATCGCGCCAACACTGCTCGACGACGTCGGAGATAAAACGCGGGGGGGGTATGTTTGCAGAGAGAATCGCTTAAAATTGATACGAGTGAATCCGTTGATAAAGAGGAGTACATCAATATATATACGTATATGCTATTACGACGTCATAATTCTCGAAGAGAGAGAAACTCGAAATTGTCGCAAACACGAGCTCGGATAAAATCGGACGACGATCCGTGCGATGATAGATCGCGGGCGATTCGAGAAGTGCGTCGGTCGATATCCGTTCTCCGGATAGCACGAACGCGCGGCCTGGATCGCGACTTCGTTCTTACGTTCCAATTTTTACGACCGACAATGCGCGGCGCGCGATAAGCGGCAATAACAAACGGTGGGCGAGAAAGATAAGGGACATGCGTGAGGATAATTGACGATCCGTTTCTCGCGGTTGTATCGCCGCGCGCGCGCGCGCGCGCGCGACGACGGGTCGCGCACCACCACGTCGCGGAGGACCGAGCGGCGCAGACACAGTGCGCCCCAGCTCTGTTAATAAGCTCTGTTAATCAGTGTGTATCAAGATTACCCTACATATCAGCGCACCGTCACGGGGATATCGCCGTTGAATAAAGGTGAGATAACGCGTGCAATTATGTTGCGAGAAAGTGTTGCCTCCGTTAGATAAGATGGTTTAAATGTTCATTCACCCTCTCCCTCTTTTTCTCCCTTTCTTTCTTGGTTTTTTCGACCTTCTCGCATAATCGTCAAGAGGGGATTATCGGACGATCGCGTTGTATCCTATTTGATTTATTTTTCACATTTTCCACGGCGAAATGTACTTTCATATTCTCGTAATGAAATTTTCTCGTCAGCAAGTGGCTACAAAATACTTGTGTCTCTCTCTCTCTCATTCTTTCTTTCCTCGCGGTAACGCTAGACTTAATCGAGCATTAAACTTCTCGACGCAAAAACTTTTTTCCTTCGTGTTGCTTCTTCTTTCCCTTCTCCCTCTCTCTCTCTTTTTTTTTATTAACATCGCTATTTGAAAAAGCGTTGGACAGGTGGATCCCGCGGGGACGAGCGCGAACGGGTTAATCTCCGTGGTTAGGCACGTGTAGTGGATACGCGCGAGGCTTATGATTACTGATCGAAGGCATCCACATGGCGTGGATACGGAATAACGGAATCCCTGTATAGGTATATTTTCGCAGTGCACACGCGGGTATTTTCTGAAATCGACACCAGATTGAAGAATTGATATCTTACTCACGGTGCCGTCTCTCTCGCGATACACGTGGAAAAGTAATTGGAACATCGATCGCGGTTCGTTGCCTCGCGATCTCTTTGTGTTTTCGGTAGTTAATATCTCCTCTTTCCTTCCGTTCCAGCAATTGAGCAGTGTGAATCAAATTTCTGATACAGCTAAATCCAATTAAAATTAACGAGGCGAGATTACACCGTTGTTCCCCCATGTTCAAACTGTCGCGATTAAACAACAGGCCGGTGCATGTGACTGATTCGGTAAAAAAGATTCATTAAATGTTGATCGGCGTGGAACACGACGAATCTGCCGCTCACATTCTTAACACAAATTCAACTACCTGGTAATTGACTCACGATTAACATGTCAGTACCTTGCGCTCGTTTACCCTTCCTCTTTTTACGCGAGTTGTTATTATTATCACATCCTTTACGTACACGCGATGCGTGCGTCTAATATCAGGGCCTATTTAGCGGAGTCACATGTCAGGACATTGGCGACCTCGCGTGCCGGTGTTTCGCGCCTCTCTGAAAACCCGGATTTTCCGTAGGCCTACTCACTCGCGCACAGCTGGGCCCATTCGACTGGTTTCAGACCCGAGTCTGAACTCAGTCGGTCCCCGTCGTATCCGGGCCGTGGCCTCGACCTGATCGTCCTCGCATCGTCGTGCGTGGAGATGCCAGAAGGATCTTCGGCAGCTGACGTCGTCGATCCGTCCCGTCCAAGCCAATTCCTCGACACGGAATCTCGCCTCGATGTCTGTGTGATTGATTGATCACAATTCCCCTCGATCGATTTCACGAATCAGATTTTTTTTGCCTAACGGCTAATTGAACGGTTGAATCGATTGTCGACATTCAGGCATATTGGCGTTTTAATCCCTCAGCTGTTTTCCCGGAGAAGAAACGATCGTCGGTCGATAACGATCAAAGAAATTCACTTAATCCGCCTTGGATAAAATTACGTGATATTATCGTCGACCTCTATAAGAGTACCCTATTGCCATAACCGTATATGTGACACGGTCGTGCAGATGCAGCGGGACGTCCACGTTCGCTTTCGTACGGATAGGTGTATGTACGCATCGGCGAGCACTGCGGTAGATCTTGCGTTTGTCGGATACTCGATTTCGCGCCGCGTGCTGATATTAGCGTGCCGTCCGACCATTTCTATTACGAGAGCAACGATCGCAATCCGTACAATGCTCAAGATTTACCTCTTGTTTTTATCAAATAATTCTATTTCATTGGCTTTGTTTTTTTTTTTTCAATCAATATCACAATGAAGTGAAAATCTATTGGATTCTGTTTTAAATCTCTACATACATCATCTACCATTTTTTCTATTCATTTTTTCGACTCACCGAAAACCCGGAAACTCGGGGTCGGCTACATGTCTTCTGCTGTCAAGTCTGAAACAAAGTTATACAGTTTTAAAGTATTAAAAATGACTGTAATTTACTGTGAGATGAACCTAATATTTTCTCCCAGTGTACTTTGTATATATTATCATTTGTATATAAACATATTTTTGCTTTGCATACAGGATATCTGCCGCTTTTCTCTTCAATTTAATTATTTACATGCTAAACACCCGCACGTGTCGTTTGTATTTAGAAAGTAGCTGATTACGAGCGCGCGATTATTCTTCGTCATACATGGTTACGTGCAAACACGCGCGCGAATTATTTAATATAAATTAATTATCCGACGAGATGCCTGCAACGTCGTGCACAGTCGTAAGATGTCTCTCTCGAGACTCGCGTTTTGAGAATCTATCGATTACGAAGGAGGATAATTATCGTGATTTTCGTCAATTGGCTCGATTGATTCGCTCATATGTGACATCATCGACTTAACGTAACAAGCTAACGTGTCAATCATTCACAGAGTTTTTACGGGCATTAGTTGGTACAAGAAAACTGCGAGCGTTAAATGCGTGTGTGTATGTGCAAACGATCGATAGACGAGCGACGGGTTTAGAACAGAGACAGATACAACGTATTGTTTATTATCCGTTTTTTTTTTTTTTTTACGAAAGGTCGCCGAGAGCGCGGTACTTGAAAAGTACAGCGACTACGTTAACGATACTACCGTTACTACCGATACTAAGCGCGAGTATAGAAGGCACTAGGTCAGGAATTCGCTGCATTTTGATGTGAAGGAACATAAAATGTTCATCTGTATACGTGTACAGATGCATATAAAATCGGGCGCAGTGCACTTTGGCGGAAACGAAACGTCCGAAGCGAGACCGTAAACGACACGGCGCTTCATCGCGCGAAACTCACTCGCCGGCATTCAATCAGCTTCTGTAGTCGCAATTAGAGTTACGCAAACTACGCGAGCACTCGGTCGTTTCGATTTCGAAGAGAATCCCGACGGTTTCGCTGCTGAAAATGTCAGCAACCGGTTACCCTACAAGTCGGACGGGATCGCCGTCGATGGTCCGGCAACCGTTATCACCAAATCGCGTCGATCGCGAATTGGCAATTCGGGACGACGAACCGCTGGAAAGGTCTTAAAAAATCGACCCGGTTCCAACGTGGCTAACGGTGCTCGTGCAAAAACTCGCGGTTCCTCCTACCTAATTGCAGGCGGTTTAATTCTGGCCTGTCGTTTCGTGCGTTCGTATGAACGCGCGCACGTGTGTCAAAATATGCGGGTCAATCATTCGGTATTCCGCGCGATGCGCTTAGCGGTCGGCCCACCTTTCTTATTCGCCGCCGAACTTCACTCTCGCCGTGTTAGACAATGTGGGACAGTCCGCCCGTCTCGATCTAGATCAAACCGACTCGGCCAACGGCGATCGCTCCGCCGATTTCTCGAAAAATGACGATACGTTTTTTTCTATCTTTTCGAATAAAATATTGCTCTTTAACGTATATATGCCGGTGACAATATTCGAGGCACGATCGTATAGAAACGAGCTCGCTCGGTCCACCTCGACAGACATTTCTGTCGCGTTCATTTCTCTAACAGAAGCGCTACTACAATGTTAGTGTGACAATATCTTTATACGCGTATTGTTGCTGTTACTTTTTTCGTATGTGAATTAAAAGACCAAAAAATATCAGGGGGAAGTACCTATGTTCTAAGGGGAACATTTTCCTTTCCCACAATAAATACGAAATGCATGCGTGTGTGCGTGCCGGTCGCTCCTATATACGGACAGACACGCGGCTCTCGCGTTTTTCTAGAGCAGTTCCCCTTAAGTACGGTTTTGCAGTTTATATACTGTTACACCGATCAAAGGAACCTCGTGAACTGGTCGTATGGCCGAAGCCTAGTGAACCTGGGCCACACGTAACGTCCCGTAAGTAGGGACGACGACGTGTGGAGAGGACGCGGTAACGATCGCGAGCTGCATTTATCATAATTAAGACGGTACGCTGCGCGATTTAGCCGGTAATGTATATCGTGACGTACATTGGCCCGAACGCTTTTGCGAAAGCGTGTAATCACCGTGTGAGAAGCACGCCACGCCGAATGAAAATTCCACGGAGAGCGGGCATTGGGAGAGGAAAAAACTGCTAAAATAAGATTTAAGAACAATCCTCCTCCCATGTTTTCCTCATAAGAAAATGCTTCAGCTGTTATCATTAATACTATAGTAGCACTTAGACTGCAACATTAATTTTCTCGACTATAATATTGCCTCTCATTGCGCGACTATAGTCACAAATATCAGAAACTTTGCTCAGTGCGGTGGATTTCTCCTACTGTTGATCCGCGGATTTTGGCGACGGATGGATTCCATAGGTTTTTTTCCGCATTTCTCTGGACGTGTGCGCGGAATAGGCAAATGATAATTAGGTATTGAAAATAATCGAAGGACTCGGTGCAAAAACCAGTCAGCTCCATTTTTTGAAATTATACAATATGGAGAAAAAACTGTTTTGCAAAGTAAGTCATGTAAATAAAGTTTTTACGAGAATCACGTAAATATATAATATTCTGATTATTCTGTTAATAGATTTTTCGGGGCAAAAATATGTTTATCGGTGACGACAGTTATAGTAAAAAATATTGTTTTTCTTAGCGACTTGATTACGGACACCGATCGCATGCGACGACACAACGTACGTGCGTGCGTGCGTATTATATAGGTGCGGTAGTCGCTCTACCCTCTTTACCCACAAATTAAATTACCAATGCCGAATTCGCGCTGGAGCGCGATAGCTCGAGGCGCTCTCGTCCCGAATATCAATTAAGCGAAAATGTTCGTGTCGTCGTGCGCGCAAACAGGATGTAGCCAGGCGATATGCGCGAAATCTACCTGTCGCTTTTCCCCTTGACAGCGACGTTCATCTGAGATTCACACCGAGTACCGTAAGTCGTGGGCTGTGCAATACATAATATACACACCGCATCGACGTGGGATTTATCGCAAATAATTCCGCGGGATCTGTCGTACGGCCTACTTGAAACGCCGCGCGGAAAATAACGCGAATACGCATGTACGTAAATAAAATCTTCAAGCTAATCTATACGAGACTCGTAACTCCAAACTATCGAGTATCTGAAGAGGTGTGAAATCTCTCAAAAGAGATACAGAGAGAGAAGAAAAGAGGAAACAAACACCGATATTAATCCTAGAATATACTGAGAGGGAAAAATCATTAATCCCATCGTTATAATTTATAGCTGTTTTCGGCACTAATCATTGTTCCAACAAAAAGTATCAAGATATACCGGATATTTTGCAACCGTTCGATTGTAATTGCAGCTGTACGAGCAAGCGAGATGACGCGAAGAGGGCTTTTGTTGTTGCTCAGTCTCGCCGTCCTGAAGGAATCGTCGTCTGGGACTACGGGCGACTCCTCTCACCACAGACAGAAGAGGGTCTTCTGGTTCACGAACGACGGCCGGATCGCACTGCCGCCCGGCACCGTCATGACAATCACACCGACGTTGGCGTTGCCGTTCGTCAGGCATCCGCCTTACGGTTTCCTCAGCAATATGACCATCAGTCTACCGTTCACGAGTGAGTTCGACTGTATCAGCGCGGATTCTTCAAGAAGAAAAAAGAAACGATACTATGAAAATGATCGTTCGACAGACGGAATTTCATGGAATCGTCGATTTGAATTCACAGTTGACTTCGACAAGCTGGGTTTGACCGACAACGAGAATCCCTACGGCGCCTTGCCGCCGGCCTTCGACAGGAACCTGAAGAGCCGTCAGGCCGGCATGATGATGGCGGATTTCATCGCAGCGTTCATCAAACGCAGATTGCACAAACGAGAGATAATACCGCCGAAGAACGCGTTTCACGGTGGCGAGAGGGCTCTGCTCTACGGTACCGCCGAGGACATGCTGAGCACCTTGGGGATGAACGGGAAAGCGTGCCTGTTGAGGGCGATCTGCGAGGTCCAGGGCCACTCTCTGAGCAACTTCGGTCTGATCGGCGAGATGCTGAAGCTGTTCTTCACGTAAGTCCGTCTGGTCCCATTGTGAAACCGACCGTTAATTGTCTCTTTCTTCTTTTTCCCTCTGTTTAGCGCTAGTCGATCGCCGTTCGCGAATCTTCTCAAAGAATACGTCGAGGCGGAAAATCGTGGCAAGTTTCACGGGGAATGTTGGCCCTACTTCAAGGACTGCCCGAAATCCCTCTTTCTGCCGTCCACCAACAAGTATCAGTTAGTATGCTATCGATTCTGATATTGATTCAGAGATTCTCCATAAATGATCGAATATCTCGAAAGGTTCATCTCCTGTCTCTGTTTGCGTTTCCATTTTGAAAAACGTTTCTCTTTCAGGAAAGATTCGGTGCACGAAGACGAAGAGGACGAGGATTGGAATCAAATCCCGAATGACGAGAAGGCTTCCACGAGGATATCGATGCAAAGCACAAAAGACACCGTACACCCTTCTATGTAATTACATCGAATCTCAATTGTGTATAATTGCGTGTACGGTGACTCGTGCGGAAATCGCTTTGTGTGTCGCCTCATTTGCGGATTTCCATCGCGCGAAGCGAGGCGAAATCTCTTCTTCCAAAGAACGAAGGAAAGCCGACTTTAGATTCTCGCGCCGATATTGCTTGAGGTAATCGCAATTCCGCGACTGTCAACGGTTTCGTGTATAGCGTCTGCCAAATGGGACTGTCTGAATCTGCTTTCGAGAAAAGACGATACAATCCCGTTTAATTTAAATCTTGGCCCGAGAATCGGACAATCGTGATCAACGTTGAAAATACGAATCGAGTACCTTCCGACGTGCGTGCTCGCAAGTGCTCTAAAAGAAGGCTTATCCGTTAAAGCAACGGCACTGGTTCTTCTAGTTTCAAGCCGATAGTGTTGAGATATACACCGTAATCACGTCACAGTGAGATAGAGTAAGTTCTCACCATATATGTGATACACTGAGAACAAATTATTTCGCGCTTGTGACTATAATTGCATAATGAAATAATGACAATACTCTTCACTTCCTTGCTAGAACAATGAAACAAATTATACGAGAACGATCGCGAAATTGATTTGATCGTTTTTCTCTCAGTGTACCGCGTATGCCCGAAACTGTTACGAAAGTTTGGCTAGTCGTCGATATTGTAAAACTTGGCGCTCCAACGATCGAAGTGTTTCTTTTTATTTATTGTACAGTGAGAATATTATTTCTCTTCTTCTTCCTCCCTCTCTTTTATTGATTTGGTCATTTATGTAACGATTGCTCACATACAACTACAGAGGCATGGATGAAGTGTCTCGTGCTTGTAATACATCTTGTAATGTGCGAACATCAGTATCCAAATCAATCTCAAGGCGGCCATCTTGTTAATTGATAACGTCGGTTGAGAAAACGCGCTGAAGGTTTTTGCACAAAGTACGCCGAGATAAATTGATACTCAAGGTGGCCCTTGATAACGATTCGAACTTTTCAGTGCGAATTTCTTTCGATATCCGTGCGCAATTTCACGCCCGGCATTAACGCGTATCGTGCGCTCGGGAAATGTACCATGCTGCCATAATAAACATAGTACCAATATGCGTTCCTACTTTTGCGGGCAAAAGAGAGAGATAAACGAAATGTCGTCGCGCAAAGTACCAATAACTTGCCGAAAAAAAGAGATGATACTCGTGGCGCGTGTTACATTATTTACAAGACAGTTGTGAGTATTTTATTCGCGTGTACGCGATACTTATCCATAACGTTTTACTGTCTAACGATTCATACGAGCTTACCTTGAATAAGATTGCGTCTTATCGACAGTTGTAGTTTAGCGAAACAAAAGCTAGACTCGGTGGTGTAAGCGTGGCTCGCTGCGTACAAATTTTCCAAAAAAAGTGGCGCCGACGCCATTTCGCATTTTTTTTCTTTCTAAACTGATTGAACGGTTGAGAAACTGGTACCGCCATCTCGCGTCTCCCTTCATCGCAACTATTTAATCGGACTGCTAACGATGCCATCTCGCGTTTTTCTCCGCAGATCAGTGTTTCCATTAGACCTGTTAAATTCATTCATCGGTAAGCTAAACAACAACTAAGGCGTCCGTTAAACGCTTCTCTCTCTTATATATTATTAATAGGAAATATATTATTAATAATGAAAATATTCTAGCTGTAACAACGGCATTAGTGTAAACACGCCACCAATTCGGAATTGAGGATAAAAATTGAAATTCAACGAATCCTGATCTCTTCGAGCCGATTGAGCCGAGTTCCAGTTTTCAATGGACGATCCTGAGCGATGATATGATACCGACTTAACAACGGCAAGAGATGCACCGTAGCGGATACAAAGTTCCCGCAGAATTCAATCACATGTTACGTTATCCGGTCATCGCGCTATGACAGCCAAGATATATCGCGGCCTCCTGATTCGCATGATAATTAAATACGAGTTATCACGAGAAGAGGCGACGGTATATCACGGCATTCCTTCGACGCAACGCTTTGTGTTTTCCCCGGCTCCGCCATACTGCACCGATAACACTGATGATATCGATTTAAAAAGGTTACAACTCCTATTATGTCGCCTCTACGACGTGCGTGCAGTACTCCTCACTTTATCTTTGATTTATGTAAAGTCGCACGGTGTAACGTTGATCTCGTTCGCCGATTAAACGTTCTTGCTTGTAATCTCACTTGAGTCTCACGAGAAATCATTTTTTAGGCCGACAAACGAGCAGCGTCAGCAATCCCAGTGAGATGGCTTGCGAAGCGTGTAGTACCAAGTTCAATTTGTTTAAGAGGAAAGTGAGTGAGGAAAAACTTCCACTTCTTCGTCGGCAATGATTCGACAAATCGCAATGTCGGGCTGCGTGTGTAACTCGGATGATGAAAGAAAGTCTCTTGATTATGTCGCATAAATGTCATCGAAATATGCTAATGATTCTTTATCTATTTAAAACTAACTCACATGGTATTGTGTGTACTCACAACCTTGATTACACCCATGATTTAGTGATAAGTAAACGCGGTGAATTTCCTCAAGCTACTTCTTGGAGTTGAAACTAACCTTCCTTGAGGCACCTCAGATTTTTTCTTCCGTCAACTGGGTTGTTTTACTTTATCGATAAACAGAGGAGTAATCACGCGATGGTTATCACACGCCTGTTTTTTCCTATATTCTTCAGAAACAATGTATGGATTGTCTGAGGTACTTTTGTTCTGAATGCGTGATCAAACGTTTGGACAAAGTGTTTACCTGCGACAGTTGCAGTATATTATCCAGAAGACCCCTTGTGAGAAACCAAATTAGACAAATGCGTTCCAGAGACTTGCGGCAATATCTTGTGGCAAAAAAGGTTTCCATCAAGGGATGTGTTGGTACGTGTGTTGTTATTTTGCCAATTAATATATCTTCATATATAATAACGTATTCTCTTAAGAAATATTAATCCTATAGAATTGTTCTTTTGTGGTGATATCAGGCAAGCTGAAAATGGAGGAAGATTTCTTGTTGTGAACTTAATGTAATCTCTTAGTACATGCAATGTTTTTTATACAATATTAAAAAAAATTATAGTTGCTATTACAATGATCTAGAGTATCATTATCTAAGCTGAAAGACAACTGTTATATACATATAAAAATATATATATATTTTTTTCTTTTTCATTTTTTTCTTCAAATTTAAGTTCAAACGAATTATATCCTCAAGTCAAAATGAGAATACATGTTGATAAAGCTACATATATAGTAATAAGAATACTGTTCCACCAAAGAAAATATTAAATGTACATCACAGTGGAAAAGACTTGACAAGATCAGACTTTGATTTCAGAAAAAGAAGATTTGGTGCATGTACTAATGCTTTTTGCTAATGGAACTGACCCTTGCTTGAGTACCGACTATAGTACAAATGTCAGCTCACAAAATACTACCAGGGAACCACTGTACGTTTTATTTATTTATTTCGCAAGTATATATAATACTCTCAAAGCTTTCGAAAAATATCATAATACAGTCCAGTGACTGAATAATTTGAGAAAGATAGACAAGAATAGGTAGCAAGATAATGCATTAGTCGATTTGGGCTATTATCTCAAAAGGTGATTATCATAGAAAAGGAAACAAAGTAGTTTGTATATGTGTCTTAAAACTTACCATTGCCGATTTTCGAATTATTTCATTCATTTAATGACTTGACTAAACATGATGAAAAGATCGACAAAATATTCGTGAAATATTGATAACAGAGACGTGTTCTAAGACACTATAATTCTCTTAATAGGTCCAGAGTCGACTTTTCCTTAAACAGAACAGAAGATATGCCAAACGTCAGTACCGAAAGTGAGGTGACGCATGATGACACGCGGGCACAAGCGAATCCCCCAAGCGATCCCATGGGAAACGAAGACGTCGAAATCGCGGAAGAAGTAACCGAAAGTGACAGTAGTCCGATCATTAGTGTGCCACTTAGTACTGATGAATCGCCTAGCGAGGGCCCGACGAGAAATAATAATGTCGAAATAGAGGAAGTATTTGAGTGTGATAGCAGTGCGACCGATGCGGCGCCGGAGCCGATAATTACCGAACAGGATGACATTTCTGAAACTTCAAACGTGGTACAATCAGACATGGTCACGGAAATTCCTACGGTATGCGAACGGATACCCAATATTTTCAATTAGCAACGCCCTTTGTATACGCATATCCAGTCACGCCAATTCCATTTCTTTGCAGTGGTCAGACAAAGTGCAACTATCGGATATAAAGGAAGCGTCGGAACTAGAGTATCTAAGTGTTAAACAATTAAAAAGTCTGTTGAGCACAAATCGTGTAGATTACAAAGGCTGCATAGAGAGGCAAGAACTATTTAACAGAGTGTCCAGATTGTGGCAGGAATACAAGCAGTCTAGGAAGGGTGAGATGAAATAAACTTTATATTATAGATCGCAATATTCACGCGCCACGGTGTTTATTCAGCTGTTTGTAATTTTAAATACACGTATACAATTGCTATTGTAACACACGAAATATTCGCAAGTTTCCTCATTGGTTTCGATCATCGTCCTTATTTGCTATTTTATTTATTACCTCGTGAAATTTAGATCGCAACTATTAATGAATAAATTATTGCAGACGTGGAGGGACTGAGCGAAGAAGAGATATGTAAAATTTGTTGGGACGCACCGATCGAGTGTGTAATCTTGGAATGCGGACATATGGCTTGCTGTATTAATTGCGGTAAACAAATGTCCGAGTGTCCGATATGCAAACAGTACGTCGTCCGTGTTGTACGATTCTTCAAAGCTTGATGAGCCAACGATTAGAGCGAAGCAAGGATGGCTAATCTTAAACTCACATAAAGTCAGACACGCTTTCATCTGTTATTATTGTCACCAAGGTTAATAATACTGATGAGGTCAATAAGGTTAAGATTAATATCGACATTTTCTAAGGGTAGATCGATCCTGACGCGTGTAATTCGAAATATAAAGAAAATTGATGTACGGAAAGATATCAAGTTGTGATAAAATTTTGTGGCTAGACAAGCGTATCAACGTATATCGATGAAAGATAGCATACATCTATATCAAGTTCAGATGCGGGCCTTACAACAAATGATAAATTCCAAGTTTCGGTTCCAGATAACTGGCTCTGCAGAATTTCTCGCCACTTTTAAAAACATAGTTCTATATGTTTAAAAAAATATTTATTTAGAAACAAACGTCCCTCCGGCACACTGTGCTCTGTATATTAATTAGATGTTGTATATCGTAATGAACTTTTAAAATATCAATGAAGAATATAAAGTTTTTATGTCACGGAGCTGTACGTCATCCTCTGATGCTTCTACCTGCTGTGATCATTCGTGTGAAATATCGTATTTGCAAAATCGATTATTTTTATGAATAAATTTTTCAACGAAACAAATGTTCATGGTAGTTAGGTTACTTCTTTGAGAAAGCATCAACGATGTCACGCATGTGTGATGGTTGTAGACAATAATGTCAAAGGAAGCGGAAAATCAAAACTGACTATTTTAACCGGTCAAATATATAATATTGAAATAATTTCTAATAGAACAAAAGTGTGTTACCCAACCAAGATTGTTTGAAAATTAACGACAACATTAATATAGCTAATGTAGTTAAGTTCTGACCAGCCCTTGAGTCATACTACTCGAGAAATAGAAAGTACGTCCATCGTTTAGTCATATCACGACCTCAGCTTCTCGTTAAGTATAGTGGCGACTCATAGCGGAGATTTTGGAGCTAAATTATAGAAATAACGGGCCTAATAATTCTATAAACCCATTACTTCTGTATTTTGATTCCAGAATTCCCGCTACGAGTCGCCACTATACTTAACGAAAAACTGAGGTCGTAATAACGAGGAACGTACTTTCTATTTCTCAAGTAATATGACTCAAGGGCTGGTCAGACGTACTTTCCATTGTAATAAACATAGGCGAAATTCAACAGGATGCCACTTTTGCAATAATGTGTACACCCTCTATGCGTTATATTTTTACAACTTTTCAAACTAACGAAAGAGAGATGATAAATTTTTTTCAGAAATAAAGGCATAATGAAAAATTGATCAATTACCCAGTGACTTCTCATCATAATACATTCTCTAACGTTTTATCTTTAAGTGTTAGACATCTCAATCTTGAAACACGTCAAATGACAATTATATTATTCATCCCGAAGGAGTATCGCCGCCGAGTCGCACGTTATCCCAGTGACTGGTGCGCGTCGTAACAATGGCAGAAATTGATTGGCCTTGGCAATACAGTTTTCCGCCGTTCTTCACGTGAGTATCGTTTCGACGGGTAAAGGTATTCGAGTAATGAGATTGTGGTGAAATTTCACCTCGACAAGAGAGAAAACGAAACGCTACATCGCTGTGCGTAATGTAAATCATGTCAACTCAACAACGGTCTGTTTGTCGCTCAGGTTAAAGATTGTGTTAAGAATCCAAAGCTTAGCGTAAAGAAACAAGAGCTTGTCGTGTTGATTTTTCTCGAACGTGTCAATCTGACGACTGATGCGAACTTAACTCTCCGTTAGTTGCAATATTTTTTACTCGTGAACGGTCACAATATATCTCACACAGATATACAAACTTTCGTCATTTTTCTCTGCTTCTTGAAACAATTTCTCTCTCATTAGCATTTGACTAAAAACCAGGCACATAAAAAACAATAAAGAACAAGAAAAAACTGACAAGTTCAACTTTGAGGCTGTACAGCAACAATGATACACTAAAGCCTGAACATATCTATTGGATATACTTGCGGCTAACGGAGGATTAAAAAATATATGGAAAGATTAGAACCAAAGATGAGATAGAAAAAAGATAAATGTATGATATAGCTGTTTTCAATTCATAGAGAAGACTAAAGGGACAAAAAGCTATTGAACTTGAGAATTACTCGACAGTTTGTATTGACAAGTTGAATTGTGATTATTGCAGACTTCAGCTTCACGCGGATACCAGATCCAAGCAAATCGCAGCTTGGAGGAGTCTGGTGCTCGAATATTATCGTACCACGAAGCAAGCTGTCGTGGACGTGCGAGAAGTACACACGAATCCTTTGTTCAATAACACTGCCATAAATCGTATCCTTTTTACCAATTATATCAAATGGTACACGGTTGTTTTAGATCTTTGTATATTTGCAACGTACATTTGTCAATTCCTCACGAATACCTTAACTACACTCGATCGAACAGGAAAACTACCATCGGATACTGTCTTATTGATACTGGAAGAATTACGAAAATCAGGCAACGCGACTCCGTTGGACAAGACCAGACAAAGATGGTTGGTGTATTGGCACACCCTGGAGGAATGGGGTGACATAATATATAACTGGGCACAGGAGAATGGTTTTGTCGGGTCAGTGTGCACATTGTTCGAATTAACACAAGGGGAGGATACCTCTGAGCAAGGTATATTATTCAATTTTAAACTAATATAAGAATAAGCTAATAAAAGAATTGGAGCGCAGGATCTACTGGGAACCTTGTTTGCCGACTTGCTTATTTATCGCATCATCATCGATTACTGACGACTCTGTGTTGGTTTCAGAGTTTCATGGTATCGACAATGAAGTACTAATCAGATCACTCAGGACATTGGAAGCTGCGAAAAAAGCTGAGCTCATCTTATTCGATGATAATCAAGGCGTGAAATTTTTCTAGTCCTTGTAAAATGCACGATGTAATGTCACTCCTCTTATTCCAAATATTGTATAATTTTTTGTGAATTAATCAATTGTCTTTGTGATTAAAAAATGCAAAATCAATTTATTTAACATATTATTAGCAGTACATACTTTTCTCCTGTTTTTAAAAGCAAACCAAAATCGCTTATTATCAAACGTCAAGCATACGTGATGTTAGAACGTAAATTACATCGTAATAGAAATTTCGAGCATACAAACTTAATATATCAAGGTACGAGAATTGTATACGATACATAAAATTGCTCGAAGCAAGAAAACGCAGAAACAAACAAAGGGTAGGCATGTAACTAGTACCAAAGTCCAGATCCTAAAATACATTTGTAACTGAATAAGTCGCAAAACGTTATATGCCTTCTTAAATATTCGAACGGTGTTACATCCAATTGACAATAGAGGCGTTAATCTCATGATTGCTGCGCTGATCGCTCGAGATCAGAAAATTAAATTTACCATTGATTACGATTCGCTTTCGGCTCTTACAATCAGCTATTGTTCCGACGCATCATACAGGTGGGATTTAGTGAGAAAGATCGAACGTTCTCTTTTCTTTTATCACCGCTTGTGATTTTTAAGCCAATTAATCATAAATGACGATTGACGAAGATCTTCGATTTGAAAACTGAGTGTAAATTTAAAGACTGTGTACTTTCAAAAGAAAGAAGCATAAAGGATACATCTATACATATATATTACATTAATACTGTTAATCGTTAGACTCGAGGAACGATTATTTTAAATACCTTAATTTAACCGAAATTCTTAGGATAAGTTCCTGTAAGGCACTGCAATCACAAGAAAGTACAAGGATATTATTCTCCTTAATACAATATTTTAAATATTACGTCGCCTTAGAACTGCAACCTTCGAAGATAACTAATTATTTTCTTATCAATAACTTTGTTCAGCGTCGTGAAATTCATTAGAAATTCCAATATGAAAGATTGAAAAACGAAAAGGAATTTATGACGATAAAATTAAAAACTAAGACATTCTATAGACATATATACAGTATACTTGCTTGACATTTTTTTACAAATGGCAGAGCGAAGTAGAACAGATGACAGAGACCATGACCATGTTGTATGTTACTTTGCGGAATTTGATAATGATGTTTCATGTGATTTACCAATTCAGATTTACAGAGTAAGCATCGTATTTTAAGCATAAATTATATATTGTTAAACAGGCAATGAGACACAGAGAAAGAAGAAGAACGGAAGCAGACAAAGCTACATGGTTTACAATCACAAGTGAGTTCCGCTATGAATGTAAACATGATCTGATGTATTATTTACAAATTAACATAATAATTCCGTCCAGCTTATTTTTCCTCCTGTGTTGTTATTTTCCTCTTGAATAGCAGAATGTGTGGCTCTGGAAAGATCAATTATCTTGGTTAGAATCAGCATCTGAGTAAATGCTGTAACATCAAGGAAATGTAATTACCAGGTTCATGAATCATGTAATGCACCCATCCTTGGCTCTGTTGAACACCAATGGCTCTCCATTCTTGTTCAGATAGCAGATGAGTTTTTGGTACTAGTTTCACCAGCTCTTTTGGCAAGACGACATGCCTGTGTGCGTGAAAATTGCAATCTCAATAATTAGGGATTCATAAATTGGCAGAATAAATTCTCATTAATATTGTTAAATTGCAATAATCTTTACAAAGAACCGTTTATCAGTCAATGCCATGCAAAAGCACACGAGAATCTCCAAAATCTCTATTACAAAACAGATGTTTCATTTTCTTTTATATGCTTTATAATACAATCTTTTTTACATATTGTATAACTCTATAAGGGCTTAGACACAACGTAAAGAACAAGAAATTAAATGTCGACATATGAAGAATCATGCTTTAATTCACAATAAAGAAACAGAGAACAAAAATCAGGAGAACACTGTCGAATTATATTCCTTATAACTTGTGTGCTTACAAGGCTTAGTAATAGTCTGAAAGTTAACCCTCAAAATATCTAATGATCATCAATATACAGATGAAAATTAGTTTGAATGAATTGATAATTATCACAGAAAAATGATAAAAGTAATGATAGCAGAGGTTCATCGGAAAATAAAGTGATTGATCTGGTTTTAAAATACTCTTATGTCTCATTCTCTTTTATTTCCTATTCCTATTGTTATATTTCTCTATCATAGCTCATTCCATACATTTAATTCTTTGTTTCTTTCATTGTGTATCTGGACCCTAACACAATCATCGAAAGTATATTCTACGTATGAAGAACAGTGAAAATATTTCGTGTAAAGGAGAGAACACTAGACATTTGCCGTCTCTCTCTACATTCCCCGGGCAATTCACGAACCGCTATTGTGGTCAAGGCCAGGCGACGATCTCGCCGATCCGCGGATCCATTTAAACAAAATAACGGATCAGAGAACCGGTTAAGAATGGAGGATGGGTCAATAACAGAGCAAAATGACAGCGTGATCGTGCCACAAGCCGGCCATTTAAACCGCGTGCTCGACATGCCACCGACGATGAGAGAAACAAAGACGGGAACTATTTAGATACGTCACGCAGTCTCCACGTTTGAATCGTACGACTGCGACGCTATATTGCGCCGAATTTTGCCAAGGTCGAAAAGACGCGTTCGGACGATCGATGTGTAACCCCGTTTCTTTCTTTCTTTCTTTCTTTCTCTCTCCTTCCCTCGCGCAATTCTTTTCACCCACCTGTACTCGTACTGGTCGTCGTAGTACTTATCCGAGTAATAGATGTTATGCGGCATCGCGTCCTTCGTCTCCACGAGAGATCGCAGGTGCGTGAGCGTGAAACAGTCGTGTGCTTGAACGATTACGATACGATGTGAGATTTTTCGAAAAGACACTCACGATGGCGTGCGTACGCTGCCGGATTTGAAAGTTTAACGGATGTGTCTGCTTGTCGAAGGGCAGGGAGGGAAGTGACATCCGAGTCGTTGAGCATCCGTAGGAAAACGCGCGACGTTTTCGTGCCGTTTCGCGAGAAGTTTAGCGCGACTAGAAGTATCGCATAATTAACGTCGAAAAAAATTACCTCGATTCGGATGTCTGGAAAACGCCTGATTAATGAGCCGCAAACTCACACGAGTTAAGGTGGACTCGCGTTGACCCACGCACGTCGATAGTATCTCGGATTACGCATAGAGATCAGCTGCGGCAAGATGGCGCATCTTTGAAGCGAAGGAGAAAGTTAGGTTAAGCCCTCTCTCAACACAGCAGACTACCATGCCACGGAAGAAATCCTCCAAACGTAAAAGTCGAAAGAGGTAAGGAGATTTTTCTTCTGTAGGAAATTTTTTTTATGCCGTCTTTTCAATACGACGAATTTTGCATGTATTTTTCGTTCAGGGAGTCGTCCTCTTCGTCTTCCACCTCGAGCAGCGCCGGTTCGTCCACAGATTCGTCCTCAGATTCGACAAAATTGCTCGAGAAGCTGCAGAAGCAACGGCAGAAGCAGATCGAGGAGCGTAAACGGCAGAAGGAATTGATGAAAGCGACGGAAACACCGGAGGAAAAACGTCTACGTCGCCTGAAGAAGAAGGAAACCAAGGAACGTAGACGTAAGGAGAGGATGGGCTGGGACAACGACTACTTGCATTATACAAACACCGACAATCCGTTTGGAGATGGCAATATTTTGTCAACGTTCGTGTGGTCAAAGAAACTGGGTAAGGAGGGTCTGCTCGGTGTGGGCAGAGAAGAATTGGAGATGCGCAACAGGCATAAGCAAGAAGAGAACAAGAGGGAACTTGAGAAAGTGAAGAAAAGAAGGCAGGAAAGAGAGTTGGAACGGCAACAAAGAGAAGAAGAAATGACCATGTTGCAGAGAGGCAAGGAGGCTGCTCAGTTGGAGCAGTGGGCCAGGCAGGAGGATCAGTTTCACCTGGAGCAAGCTAGATTAAGATCTCGTATCAGGATTCAGGATGGTCGTGCAAAACCTATCGATCTTCTCGCCAAGTACATCAGTGCGGAGGAGGAGGTGGATGCGGTGGAGATGCACGAACCTTACACATACTTGAGAGGTTTGCATGTCAAAGACTTGGAGGATCTAATAGAGGACATCAAAGTTTACAAGGAATTAGAGAGAGGCAAGAATTTAGATTACTGGAACGACATAACGGTGATTGTGGAGGACGAACTGCACAAGCTCAGAAAGTTGGAACGTACCGAGTATGAAGTTGGTAAGAGACATCTTCTCTGCGCGTGTTGTATATCATCTCTTTTTTATTCATCGCAAATAATTTGGTTTTAGCTGTCGGTAGAAGAGAAGGAATCCACGAGTCAGTGGCGAAGGACGTCACTGCTATTTTCAAGGGTAAAACCGCGGCGCAATTGGAGGCCTTGCAACAACAGATTCAGGCCAAGATCACGGGAAAACCAGAGGGCGTCGACATCGGATATTGGGAGAGTCTTCTGTCGCAGTTAAAAGGTAAGGCAATCGTTACGAGCGACTTTCAGACGTCGCTCGTTAAAAGTTGCAAATAATAGCGACTCACACCAAGTATCGAAATGTGTAGCCCACATGGCGAGGGCGCGGCTGAGAGACCGGCATCAAGAGAACCTACGTAAGAAGCTGGAAGTTCTGATTGCCGAACAAGGCGTGGCTAGAGCGGAGAGCGAAGCTGAAAGCAGTTCGCAGGTACCGAGTGAGCCGTTGGCGAAGCAGGAAGCCGAGCCTTCCACGAGTTCCACCGCGGTCGAAAAGAACGAGAACAGCCAATCCGAGTGAGTATTCTCGCTCCCTCCTCTTTGCGAATGAAAAAATATAATAATACATAACGACTAATCCTTTTTTCAGTGATGACCAGGAGGCCAACGCCGCCGACGATCTGCTATCCGAGTCGTTTCGCGAGTACGAATCGGGTTGCTACTCGCCGAGTTACACACCGTACTCGCAGCTCGAGCCGGGCACGATCGTCACGCAGGAGGGCGACGACAATCAGCGACTGGAGTACGCGAGACAGCAGGTACTCAGCACCGGTAGGAAGATCCAAAACGTGCTTACGGCCGAGGAACAGGCGATGCACAGGGAGGCGCGCAAGAACATGGGCTCGGACGAAGCGCAATTCAGCGTCGAGTCTTCGTTGGAGGCGCAGATCTACCTGTGGTCCGACAAGTACCGACCGCGTAAGCCGCGTTATTTCAACAGGGTGCACACCGGCTTCGAGTGGAACAAGTACAACCAGACGCACTACGACATGGACAATCCGCCGCCGAAGATCGTGCAGGGTTACAAATTCAACATTTTCTATCCGGATCTCATAGACAAGAATACCACGCCGGAATACTTCCTGGTAAGACATGTGCGCTTTTTTTTCGATCGCCGCTTCAAATCAAACATTTCTTTTGCGATCGTTTTTTTTTCACCTGAGATTGGATTATATTCTTTTCTAGAGGAATAATTCAATTTTGGCACGATCGGTTGATGTATGATATATCAGCATATATATGTGTGTAACGTCAAATTCCAGACTCCCTGCGCCGACAACAAGGACTTCGCGATTCTGCGATTTCACGCGGGTCCACCTTACGAGGACATCGCGTTTAAGATCGTCAACAGAGAATGGGAGTACTCGTACAAGCGTGGATTCAGGTGTCAGTTCCACAATAACATCTTCCAGCTGTGGTTTCACTTCAAAAGATACAGATACCGCCGTTAATATAATATATATATATATATGTGTGTGTCATTATTTAATATTACGTACGTTCATGTTATTCCATGAACGTTCTGTATGTATATACAACTGTATATATTTTTCTACTATACGCACGTTTACTATATTATTTTACATTGATCACGTTGCGGCGTTGTTGCAATTTTTAAATATTATAAGAAAAAGGAGAAATTAATAAAAAAAAGTCTATCGGTAAACAGAGTGTCTCGGTGGTAGATGTAACGAACATGCATGCGCCGCTTTCTCTCTCTTTCGTAATATAGACCTTATCGCTCGCTCGTTTCGAACGATTTCCGCGCGGTGACGAGAAAACGTACAGCGCACGTAGCACGTTATAGTCATTTAAACGGCCGGTCGTTGGATCGATTTTCTCTGCCACCTGTGTACTGTCGCACAGTCGACCGCACACTCACACAGGAAACGTATAAAAGCCGCGCGAAGCTAAATAGCGAAGGTAAAAGCTAAGCTCAGTGCGCCGCGTAATTCGGTGGCAAAGAGATCGTCACGCTCGCACAAATAAATGACGGAGCGTGTGCGCCCGATTCGATTTCGCGGAGTAAACACACATTTTGTATGTATGTATGTACGTCTCGCGCCATCGTTCAATTACTCTGTTAATTGTGTTGTCGGATGAGGCAATACAACGGAGCACCTTATCGGGCGGAGGAATATTGCACATTCGACCGATTTAACGCGAAGAAAAAGAGAGAAAAATGACGGCCGCTCGCGTGCGTGGGAGCGTATGAGGGGAAAAAATCGCTCGCGCGAGTCAAGTTCAGAGTGTGAGTCTCGGAGAGAATGTCTCCTTTCCAAGAGCGTTCTCCCCGAAATTTCGGATCAATTGAAATCGAAATTGTGACGTGTTCGCGCTAACTGTTGTAATCGATCGCCTCTCATCGATGTAAAATTGTTCCGTTATCGGCATAAATGATAATGCTCGCTTCGCTCACGAACAGCGTGTGACTTATTCTCGTGATTTGTGAGAGATCGCGTCATCGTTAAAATCGTCATGAAGTGGAAGAGGGGACCGTGCGAGTTTCTATCGGAGAAAACGTTCCTCATAATAAAAGATGACTTGAGGATTTTGAAAGGTAATCATACTTCATCGTGATAGTACATCGACGATATATCGTCGTGCTGGCTAATTACGTCATTAGAGAAATTTAAGGTTACCCCTCGTCTCGTAAGTCAATGATAAAACAAGAAGAAATAGTTTTGTAAGGTATATAAACGGATATGATGACCCATTAACGTCCTTCGTTCTGAGATTCGTATTACGTCAATCGTCAACTATTCAACTAAAGTTCTTCGCGAAGAAATAAATAAGTGACCGTATATGCTATTTCTGCCCGCGTTCGAATAAAGTTCAGTTGAAACTCAATTCGCAACAGAACTTGGTGATTCGATTGCAACGAAACTGAAATTGAACTTAAATTTTCTATCGTGTCCTTTGACGGGGGTCTGAAATGACTCGCATTCGTAACGGCGCCTTCTATCATCGTCTAAACAGGCGCGGCAAAGACCGACAGAAGAGCCGCAACGAAAAATGCAGCAAACACCGGTACTTGGCCGCCGAAGATGAAACGCTCCTTCTGCGAGGAACCGGAGCGGCCCAAAACGGCGAATCTGGAGAGGCCGAGCGTGCTGAATCCCAAACTGGCGGACAAGCTCGACATGTCGCTGCTCAGCAAAGAGCTGCTGTGCGATTCGATGACGCACTACCACCGGACCAGGTCGTTAGCGGCGGCCAGTGGGGGCACGACGTCGTCGTCGTCGTTATTGTTGTTACCGTCGCCGTCGTCGACGCGACGACGCCAGAACGCCGCCGTCACCGGTGACGCGCGACGCACTTGGCCCCGCGACGACGTTCCAGTGCGTCGAGCACAGCAACGGAGTTTCGAGCAGATATACGAGCCGCGGATCTGCCAGATGGAGATCGGCCCGCGATCGCCCACCGAAGGTCAGAAGACTTTGCAGGAGCCCGTCAGGAGGCTCGACGATAACAACAACAGGTCGGTGCTTGCTACGATAAGTGTAGCGAGCCTTCTTTGCTCTGAGCAATAAAATATATTATTTCTCTCCGACGAAAGATGTTTCCGACAATTGTGATGGGGACGTTTGATAGACGGCTTCTTGCTAAGAAATTCAGTGCTTAGAGCAGAAAGGCTCGCTACACCTATTGCGGATTTATACTCCGGGAGGAAAGTTTCTTCTATAAGCTTCGCGGCGCTCGAAGGGTTACTACTCACGTGTGCGTTATTACGTTCGCGCGATCAGAAACGGTCCTCCCAAAGTGCTGTCCACGGTGAAGAAGAAGAATTCGAGGGCCGGTATACCCAGCGATCTGGAGATCTTCACGAACGCTTCGTCGAGGAGCGCGCCGGAACCCTGTAAAACCTGCGGACGGCCGGATCAGCCGGAGAGATTCCACAGTCATCCGAAGGGCAGTCAGACCAAGATCAAGGACATTCCGACGGCGACGAAGCTTACGAAGAGCGCGCCGGTACCGAAGTCCGTTCAAAAGCCGGTGGCCCTGAATTTCCGTAGCGACAGGAACAAGAATCGCTCGGAGGAGATCGAGATGAAGTCGATCAGTCCTCGGGACGTCAGGCCGTCGACTGCGGCGAAACGGGGCCCGAGAACGTGCTACATCTGCGGCCGGGAATTCGGCACCGCCAGCTTCCCCATACACGAGCCCAAATGCATGGAGGTAAATGCCTTCGATAATATAAACTACAATTTTTCAATACAATCAATAAGCTATGAGAGACCAAAATTTCGCTCTCACAGGCCTGGTATTAACATTCACCTTTTTCTTATCATTTTTGAAGCCATACTTACATTTCTCGATAATACACATTACTGCAATAGCAATGAATGCAATTTGGCAATTACGAATGACGTCGTTACGATGAGATCGCGGCTAAAAATATCTCATGTTTAATTTTCAATGGAGAAGAGAGAGAGAGAGAGAGAGAAAATCGAGCTGTGCATTTGGTGCATTCCGATATTTTTTTTCCCGTCAGTGGTTGTCGAAACACAAATCGTGTAGATTTTTTCGTTGTCAACGGAATATCCGATAATTTGACGTGGCGTCGCGAAGATTTCATCGCGGAAGCGATGGAAACGGTTCATAATATAATAGCCCTGCACCGATGGCAAGTGTGTGCGATAAGTCAAGGCCCTTTCGTAAAATCGATAGCAGTATAACGCGCCGTACCATTAAACTCGATATCAGATGCATTCGCGCGTGCAACGATGTGTCAGACTCGCGGGCTATACAGCGACCGGTAACGGACGATTTGCGCGTGCTTATACGTACGGTATTTCCGACCGCGTTTCTCTACATCTGCTAGATTACCCAATGGAATATTTTCCAGTTAACGTGATACTCGCGTTTGCGTAAACACGATTAGCGCCGAACGTGACTATCCGATCCTTGTCTCGCGTGCATTGCGATCTTCGCATTCGCACGTGTCAGCGCTGAACGCCACGTATAAATACATATGTGTAAATTATATACATATACACATGTATGCGCACGTGTATTTATATATTTCGGAATGAGAGATTAGCAACATCGTACGACAGCCGCAGCAATGCAAATGCCGCAACGCGAGATCGATACGACAACTGTATATCGTGCGTCGTAAAAAGTCGTATGAAAATTCGTTCGAGCGTTTTTGCCGGAAGGAAGGACTTTTGTCCGGAATTTCCTCAACGAGAACACGAACTGACCGATTCGACTTACCGAATAACTATTCAGTCAATTGCTACACTTTTTATTTATTTCCGTCTCTTATATATATATATGATACGATTTCCTTTTAAAAACGCATGACAAATTGTGAGTTTTCTATCGTAGAAATGGGAGCGTGAAAACAACGCGTTACCTCCGTCCCAGAGACGGCCGAGACCGCAGAGACCCGTGGTCGGGATCGAGCACACCGAATGGAACGCAGCCGCATGGGAACAGAGTCAGGTAAACTTGCGGTTGCAATTTTCATTGATGTCATTGTCGTGTTAATAATACATTGCGGAAAGTTTATTCTTAAAACGCCGGCCGGCGCGCATTTCCGCACGAGCGTCGTCTCTCGCGCTGAAAATCGGAACGCCTCATTAACTTTGTCGGGCGAACGTGATGCTCGCCGATCGATTATGTAAGAATCAATTATAGGATGCAGTCGTGTGCGCGGATATACTTATGGGCAACGAGAAATGTCGCGGCGTCTCGCGAAAATCGATCGACGAGAATTCGATTTTGCGAATTCGGGCGTCCAATGAGATCGCAGATTGATATTCGGAATTCGAAATGTCGTCGAGTCAGTCGAAAATGTATCACCGACGGTAATTTCATGCCGTTTACGAGTGTGTATTCCTAACGTGGAATATTAAAGGCTGCTCTTTAACATCTCATATGCATACAACTCGCACGAGAGCATATCAAATGAGAATTGCGCGCCATGCAAATGCGTCTCGACGATCAAAGACCATTTATGTAAAAATTCCGAATCAGATCGCGAATTTTAATACTCTGCGCGATTCCTCCCTCCCTCTGGAATCTTACACGAACGGAACAGCGCTGATTCAAGGGTTTCTTAAAAAATGAAATGTACCTGACATTTTTTTCTCAAAAAAAAAAAACAATTTCTGGTATATTCTTCTTTTTTCAATGACGTTCGTCTACTAATAATCGTGTCGTGTTAACGCGCGAATCAATTCGTCATTTTCACTCGTGCAGAATTCGACGATTATATAGACACACACGTAAAAACCACTTTTAGGTGCAACTGGTGCCGTGCGCGAAGTGCGGGAGGACGTTTCTGCCGGAACGCTTGCCGGTCCACGAAAGAAGCTGCAAGGCAATACCGAAGGTACGATAAACTCATCCGACTGTATATTCCGTGTTCTCTGCACGTTCGTTTCCTCAGAATAACGAGTCGAAGCTCGAGAGATCGGCAACGTCGAACGCGCGCTCCGTCGGTCCGCCCACGGTTCCTTGTAAGGTGTGCGGCCGAAAATTCGGCAGCAGAAGTATCAAGATCCACGAACCTCAGTGCAACAGACGATGGCAGGCGCAGAACGAATCGTCAGCTGGCCGGGAGAGCCCACCGTCGACGTATCCGGTGAGGGAAAACGTTCGAATTTGCACAGTCGCGTTGTCGTGTAATTTACCTGTCGAATAAATCTCCTTTCGAAAATAATGAACTTTTAAGTACCGAACATAAATCTCCTTTGCCTCTGCTTTTACAATTTTCATTATTCAAATCTATCTTTGACGTTTCGAGATATTAATGGCGAATAATTGCAGTTACACGACAGTATTATAACGACAGTTCTGGTGCAAATTGTCCCATTGTATCACACGTTTGAAATAAAGTATTCTCAACTTACACGGTGTGTTATTGGTGCGTGGAATAAAGCGGTTGGCTTTTGATCAAACTTGCGGAAATCTAGCACGACTTTATTTCGCGTCGAAGCGTGTATGTTCTTCGGACGAGACGGAAGATAGGAAGACAGCTGCAACACGTGGACGAAGAAGAGAAAGAAGACATGTAAACCGATTGATTTCAGGACTTGTCGCAGAAGAAGACTATTACGTGTTACATATGCGGCAGAGACTTCGGCACGTCTAGTATCGCTATTCACGAGCCGCAGTGTTTGAAGAAGTGGCACGCCGAAAACGACAAAATGTCGCCGGCACGAAGACGAAAAGAGCCGCAGAAACCTGAAGTCGTATACATACGTAAGTCGATACTCTCGTTGATAACAGCGTGTACACGAGAAGTCATGTGTGTCTTGTTCGCTAAAGTTATCCTGCTATTTTCGCGCGTGTTTACCAAGAGGGTCGTACAAGTAAGCCTGGTTACAATGTTAAGACATACATGACGCCCGGTGTATACGTAAAATATCGAGTTCAATCATAAAGTTTAGCTCGATTTTCGATGTCCTGAAACACTGCGAATGAATATTTTGTAAGGAATTACATTTTTTACTCGTGTATTAAATTCGCGACGGGAACGAGTAATGATCGGAAAAGAATGTAATATGGGAAAATTGAAGTTGACTTTAGGTCGAAGTCGCGCGTTTGCTCTTTCCGTGTGCACATTTCTGTCACCCACCGATTCATTCTGAATAGTCTGTCAGGGTCAGGAACACTATGTACCGAGTGAATCAATCGAAGCGATCACGCGTGCATGAATCTATAACGCTCGTCGTAGCATCGGCGGATGTAGGTGCAGCGCTGATTTATTATACAAGCGTCACAGATGTAGTCTCGGTTATAAGGGTGCCGCTTATGGAAATTGCGAATCGATAAGTGAGGAGCGCAGTGAAGGATGTCCCTGTTGTGTTTTTAAACTTCAAAGTAAAAAGAGAGAAATTCAACAGTCGCGAATATTCGATAGTGTATGCAACGTTTTCTAATATATAATTCTTAACGTTCTCAACATTAATGAAACATTACTAAAAGACAAATTTTCCTGTTGAAATTCGCTGAAAAACACAAGTGTTGTAGCCTTTCCTCCCCTATGACTATATACGTAAAATCAATATTTCAAGATAATGTAACGTTCACTGGTAGATATAATCGAATGTGTGTCAACGGTTAAATTAACATCCGATATTTACGCGTGCCTTCTTTTCAAGGTACGATTCATTCGGCAATGATGACTTCAATGTTCGCAGAGGATCCCGGAACGGGAGATATGGTGGTCGATCAGGCGGCGACGGAGGAGGCCAACTGGATGACGCATCTGAGCCAGTTGGTGCCGTGCAAGCGTTGCGGCAGGACTTTTAATCCTGATCGCGTGAACGTCCACGAGAAAAGTTGCAAGGGGAATCATTAAGTGTGGAAAGTTGACACAATTTCGCAATTTTGCCAAGCTTGAATCTGGATATTCGCGTGCATCACGTATAACGTCAGAGATGGAAAACCGGCCAATGTCGGTTTCAAAGCTTGGCTAAAAAAAATGTTCGTTACACCAATTTGCCTATTGCTTTAAGATGGTTTTCATCAAACTCGATTTAATCGATTTCGCAGTCAAGTATCGCATGCTTTTTTACTAAAGGAGAAATTGTTCATTTCTCAGTTAGCATCCGATGAGAGCATTTACGTGCAAACGACGCGGAATCTACGTAAGAAAGTCAGTTCCACGGATGTTCTCACGGGGTATTGGAGAACAAATGATATAGCTGAAGATTAATTTGGGAAATTCTACAGATTGCACATCGCTTAGCTTGTAATTGGAGCTTGATGAAAATCGCCCTTGATATCTTAGAAGCCGACCTTTAATCCGATATGAACTTGTGTAATTGTGAGAAAATACTTAAAATATCACGATAATCGAATACTATCAGGGAAGATTGATATCTGTGTTTTCGTATGGAGACTGCAAGTCAATCCAAAACTTGGCGACAGTTCATGCCAGTGTTCATACCGGTTCACAATTTGATTCGACTCGAATTAAAGCTTGTGACGATCGATCGGTTACTTACTTTGTGTACGTATTTACAAGTTCAAATTAACTTGATTTCATGTCAGTCCTATAGAATCGTGATATACTACGCTTAAATCATTGAAAGTAAAGATAACCAAAGTAGACTTTTTAAACACGACACTCAGCGTGCACTCGCGTGAACATGAATGTTAGCTTATTGATAAGTGCCGTGCATAACAGTGGTGTGTAACGCACGTTAGTCCTTAGACGAAAGTTAATTTATTTAATTATTGTATATACGAGGTGTGTTCGCAGAGCCACCGTCACTTCTATTGAATCCCTTTGTCGACATTGTATTGAGATTTGATTGAGCGACAATTTTCAGCATCGAGTGTCTTTGTAACTGATTTGAATGAAACTTTTGTAAAATAAATTCTACTCGAGGGGAACGAAAAGAGTGAGGACGATCGAGGATTGGCGTTTCATTATATTAGAACGGAGAGCAACCATCTTGATTAGTGAACGGGACACGATACGAAGAGAATATCGGAAATTTAATTCAATTTTCAAATCTATCGACTGTATCGAACTACGAGCAACCGTGGCGCTCTCTTGAACGGTATTTTAATCTCTGTGGAGCATCCAAGCTTGTGATTGGTTGACTTTTCAGGCGGTTTATGTGCGCTCATGCAAACGAGTCTGCACGTCGGTGACAACGTTCAACGCACAAACCAATACTCAAGATCCATTTTGTGATTTTTCCGCACTTAACAAAATATCGGTTGCCGCGCGAGAAAGCAAAATCCGTACTGGACTGATCATCGGAGATTGACCAATCAGGGGTTAAAATGAGTCGAGATCGTCGAATTTTGATGAACGAAGTGCAAAAAGTGCAGACGAAAGGAACAAGCAGCTCCCTCTGGCCGAGGTGAAGCGTGCGCTCGCACACGTCGCACTGACGTGACCGGGCACGGCGCGGCCGATTGGCTGGGCGACGGTGCACGCCGCGGCGCAGGCGCACTTTCACCGTGTATCGAGGGGTAGAGTCCGGGCCTCTCGCGGATCGCCTGTTCTTTCTCAGGGAGTCCGCCATAGTTGGAACACGTATATTCCTGACCAGGCTACCTGCAATCGGACGACATCCAAAATGGTACGTAGCCGCGTTGCGACGCCGTCACCGCGTTCGCGGCCCGTCGCCCTCGCGTCCGCGCCGCGACGAATATTTTTCCTCGACGGCGACCTCGCTCACCGTGCCGCGAGGCCGTTCCCGAAAACCTCTCTCACTCAGTATGTGTGTGTCTCCTCTCTCTCGACGCGGCCTCCGAACGATTACTTCGGATTGCGCAATTTATTTCGCGGATGGATCTCACACTCGCGCCCGGGCGTTCGGGGCATCGGCTGTCTCGTGGGACAAAGCGTCGCTATGAATTCTCGCCGGGCGAAAATTCCGCAGCCGCTGCACCAACTCGCGAACGCGTCGCAGGCAGAAATATGTTTCGTTACTGCGCTCGCAACGTGTCATCATGGTGCGCGTTATGCGACAGAGAGAGAGAGAGAGAGCTCGCGAGGCAACGTGCTCGTTACCCCCCAGCGTCGTTCTCCCTCTCTCTCTCTTTCACTCCTGAAAATTCCTAGGAGTGCGTCGACTCGTCGACGATGCTTCCCTGATCGAGAACCTGCGCACGAAGTTACGTCGACCGCACAGCCAGGTAGAAGCTACGTACCGCGTGTCGGAACAATAGGACGCCGTATATGTACGAACGTCCGTTGGCACGGCTGAATGTTATCTCGCGTGTTCGTTCGAGATATTCTCGCCCGTTGAAATATTTGCTCGAGTGTGTGTTTCAATATGGTTAGTAACAAAGTCCAACACGGGCTATCGTTCGCCGGCAGATTTAATCCGATTAGTGTACAAAAATTCAATATGGTTCAGACAGAGTGTACTGTAATTCGGATATATTCTGTACATCTGTATTTTTGGTGTCAGAGGGAGAGAGAATCTATTCTTTTCCAATATCGCAATATTTTGCAATAGTCTGTGTGACTTGTGCGATAGTTTCTTTAGTAAATCACAAAGGAGGAGACGAAACGAAATGGTAGCTCGAGTGTCCTTCCAGCACACAAGGGTTACTCTGTAGTACGTCGCTTGGTTTGCAACAAACTGACCGATGTACACCGACAGTGTTAACAGTGCAATGGAAGAAGAGTAAGATGCAGCAGATGTGTTTAAACGCTGTTAGTGGGCCTCTATCTTTATGCCCGTTACTAGCACGCTACGACACAAATGCAACAAAAGATCCTTTACACAAGTCGCGCAGATAAATCGAACGACAGTTGGTCGTATATTCATTATTCATTCGCAGGTATCCATCGCTCATCAATTGCGATCATCGTATTAGTTGTGATTTGACAGCGAAAATGCAATGTTGCAGGTGAACTTTACGGTAGACGAGATCCGTGCCATGATGGACAAGAAGAAGAACATCAGAAACATGTCCGTCATAGCGCACGTCGATCACGGAAAATCAACTTTGACCGACTCCCTTGTCTCGAAGGCCGGCATTATCGCTGGCGCCAAGGCCGGCGAGACCCGATTTACAGACACGCGCAAGGACGAGCAGGAACGTTGTATTACAATCAAGTCCACGTGAGTGCAGTAACTCCTCTGGTGCCGATCTTGCTAACATTACTCATTATTACCATACATTTAATGTCACTCACTGCTCCGTTCTGATTTTTTTTCTTTTAGTGCGATTTCCATGTTCTTTGAGCTCGAAGAGAAAGATTTAGTCTTTATTACAAATCCCGATCAGCGTGACAAAGACGAAAAGGGTTTTTTGATTAATCTGATCGATTCACCCGGACACGTAGATTTTTCGAGCGAAGTCACAGCCGCCCTCCGTGTTACCGATGGAGCCCTCGTTGTTGTTGATTGTGTATCTGGTATGTGTTTTATAATTTTCCTCATCATCCGCTTCATGATATCAGTTTCTTCGGTAAATTACGAGAGAGGGAAAAGCGGGCTTCCAGCACACAAGGGTTACTCTGTAGTACGTCGCTTGGTTTGCAACAAACTGACCGATGTACACCGACAGTGTTGACAGTGCGATGGAAGAAGAGCGCAGAGCAGGTGTGTTTAAACGCTGTTAGTGGGCCTCTATCCTTATGCCCGTTACTAACACGCTACGACACAAATGCTACACGCAACCTTTTTAGCAAAGAACGATAATTCTTACGAAGAAATAGCAACTTGATGGAAACGATAGCATTCGCTGATCTTTCTCTGTTCAGGTGTGTGCGTGCAAACCGAAACCGTACTCCGTCAAGCGATCGCTGAACGTATCAAACCTGTTTTATTCATGAATAAGATGGATCGCGCGCTGCTGGAGCTCCAACTCGAAAGCGAGGATCTTTATCAAACTTTCCAGCGTATCGTCGAGAATGTCAACGTCATTATCGCGACTTACTCCGACGACGACGGTCCCATGGGTGAAGTTCGAGTAAGTGGAGCAAAGCCTCGCTTATGACGGAACCAATTTGGATCTGTAGTGACAAATGTCTGATACGAAACAGGTAGATCCCAGCAAGGGCTCCGTAGGTTTCGGTTCCGGTCTCCACGGTTGGGCCTTCACCCTCAAACAGTTTTCCGAGATGTACGCCGAGAAGTTCAAGATCGACGTGGTGAAGCTCATGAACAGACTCTGGGGCGAGTCCTTCTTCAATCCCAAGACCAAGAAGTGGAGCAAGCAGAAGGAGACCGATAATAAACGATCCTTCTGCATGTACGTCTTAGATCCAATTTACAAGGTAAGGCCTTCATCCTAGACGATTCGTTCGAGATTACCGCCGTGTGGGAACGGATTCAGTTCAGGCTGTATTCGTCGTTTACAGGTGTTCGCTAGTATTATGCATTACAAGAAAGGGGAGGCGGACAATCTTCTGCAGAAATTGGGTATCGTGCTGAAACCCGAGGACAAGGACAAGGATGGAAAGGCTCTGCTGAAGGTAAGCTTCTTCGCATTACGTTCGTGCTTCACGGATGGACGGTATCAAAATGATGATCGGTACTTATTTCTTTCTGACACCTCTTCTGACTTATAATGAGGGATTTCAAAGTACACATATGTAGCACTGAGTATACGCGTTACACGACGCTTATAGTATATGTATCTCGAGTACGTTTCACCACATGCGATTCTTCTTCCAGGTCGTCATGAGAACGTGGTTACCCGCTGGGGAGGCTCTGCTTCAGATGATAGCCATTCACCTGCCGTCTCCCGTGACCGCTCAGAAATACCGTATGGAGATGTTGTACGAGGGCCCGCTCGATGACGAGGCTGCCATCGGTATCAAGGTTTGTTTTACACATTTTTGTTGCCCTTGCGAAGCGAATGCACATGATGATTTATTTCACAGACCTGTACTGAAACTTGAATGAAAGGTAGAAGAACGAAATACTGAACGCTTCGCGTTCACTTTGAAGAGATAAGTCCGGCAAATTCGTTCTTGTCTTACGGAAATATCTTCTCTGCCGTAGAATTGCGATCCGAACGGACCGCTGATGATGTACGTCTCCAAGATGGTGCCGACTTCAGACAAAGGTCGTTTCTATGCTTTCGGCCGTGTGTTCTCGGGCAAAGTGTCCACCGGTATGAAGGCTCGTATCATGGGACCTAACTTCCAGCCGGGCAAGAAGGAGGATCTTTATGAGAAAGCGATCCAGCGCACCATTCTGATGATGGGCCGTTACGTCGAAGCTATCGAAGATGTGCCTTCCGGTTGGTATCTCGCCTTCATTCGTCCCTCGCAATTTTCCAAACTGGTCGATCTGATGAATGTTCATACACAGACCTGTTCTGAATTTATTAAGTGATAGACACAAGAACGGCCGACTGACGAGACCAGAAAGAGAAATCCGGATCGCACCATCATTGCGTGTACACGCGCCTAATCGTTCTACTTTCGTGGCAGGTAATATTTGCGGTCTTGTCGGCGTGGATCAATTCTTAGTCAAGACCGGTACCATCACAACATTCAAGGACGCGCACAACATGAAAGTCATGAAGTTCTCCGTATCACCGGTCGTGCGTGTCGCGGTCGAACCGAAAAATCCTGCCGACCTGCCCAAGTTGGTCGAGGGTGAGAGCATTATTTATTTTCACCTGTGAACGTCGATGAGTCGGGGTCATCACATGATGATACTAATTAGAGCATTGGGTTATGAAAAACCATGATTTCATTTGTTTTCCATCTGACGCGTTCGTCGATTCTCGGCTAAATTCCCGCGTTTGCACTCGCGTGCGACTAAGTTCCATCGTTCGACAGGTCTCAAGCGTCTGGCAAAATCGGACCCTATGGTGCAGTGCATCATCGAAGAATCCGGTGAGCACATTATCGCCGGCGCCGGGGAGCTGCATCTTGAGATTTGCCTGAAGGATCTCGAGGAGGATCACGCGTGTATACCGATCAAGAAGTCCGACCCCGTCGTGTCGTATAGAGAAACGATCTCCGAGCAGTCGAATCAGATGTGTCTGTCGAAATCCCCGAACAAGCATAATCGTCTTTTCATGATGGCTTGCCCGATGCCTGACGGTCTTGCCGAAGACATCGACAGCGTGAGTTCTCTCTCTTTGGAAATGAAATTACGGTATCTCGGTTGAGGCGCGATGAGCGAGAAAGACGGAACGGCACTGCTGTGGCTTTTGTTATCAATCGAGATAAAAATACACTCATCTCGTGACATTTCGCAGGGTGACGTGAATCCGCGCGACGATTTCAAAGTGCGCGCTCGTTACTTGAACGAGAAGTACGATTACGACGTGACGGAAGCCAGGAAAATCTGGTGCTTCGGCCCGGACGGTAGCGGACCCAACATACTGGTTGACTGCACGAAGGGTGTACAGTACCTCAATGAGATCAAGGATTCCGTGGTGGCTGGATTCCAATGGGCGACGAAAGAGGTAGAGATCGATGCTCTCAATGGTCGTCGACAACGATAAAACGCGTGTGTCGTTGCAGGGCGTTCTTTCGGAAGAGAATCTGAGAGGCGTACGCTTCAATATCCACGACGTGACGCTGCATGCCGACGCGATCCACAGAGGTGGTGGTCAAATTATCCCTACCACAAGACGTTGCCTTTACGCCTGTCTTCTCACTGCCTCACCCCGAATTATGGAACCGGTTTACTTGTGCGAAATTCAGGTGAGTGACATTGATCTTTTTCCCGAGATCGCAGACGAGAGCAATCTGATCTAATTCGCAATTATTTCGAATTAGTGTCCGGAGACAGCAGTCGGTGGAATTTACGGCGTGCTGAACCGCAGGAGAGGTCATGTATTCGAGGAGCAACAAGTGGCGGGCACTCCCATGTTCGTAGTTAAGGCTTACCTTCCAGTGAACGAGTCCTTCGGCTTCACCGCCGATCTGCGTTCCAATACCGGCGGCCAGGCCTTCCCACAATGCGTGTTCGATCATTGGCAGATCCTGCCGGGTGACCCGATGGAACCCAGCTCTCGACCTTACCAAGTGGTGCAGGTACGACGATCCGTCCTTTTCTCCCTCGTGCTATTTACTACCACGATATAACTGGTGACAGCAATTGGTCGATATGCTGGCATTTTCAACTCGTGGCAAAGGAATCGTTTTTTAGTTTTGGCACTCCAGTCGAACATCCTGGTTTGCCTGAATAGGGAAACGTACATGTATCTTCATGGAAAAAAGAAACTTGTCATTAAAACCACCGTATATACTCCCTTTTTATAGCTGCCTGTCTTCTTGAGTCGTTAACGATATGTTGCTGTATTTTTGCAGGATACTCGTAAGAGGAAGGGATTGAAGGAAGGTCTCCCAGACCTGAGCGCATACCTTGACAAGTTGTAACCTCAAATTCGCGCACCGTATTTAAATACCTATTTAAATATTATAATTCAATAAATCTTGCTCGAACTGTATGCAATTACATCGGTTTACTGAGAACTTTGTTTTGCGCAATGATCCGCGACGGAAACACGATTATAAATACAAACAAGGAACAAGGATAATAAAATGTAATTAAAAGGCGACGAAGGATAAAAAAAATAAGAAATGTGCAGAGTATCTGCATGTAGGAAGCAGAGGAACGGTATATTTTGTACATTTATTTAATTAAGAGCGGCAACACAAGATTAACAACCGGTTGCTTAAGTTTTTTAGCGCGTAGCGTTGGGTAAAGCTGCAATTGTTACTTGTATTACGGCATCCTATTATGCCGATCTTGTCTGAAAACACAAGGGAGATATATCTGTCACCGTTTATATCGCTTTCTTTTTTTTTTTTTTACTGGATCTTACCGTATTGCGTTACATTGAATTTCTCAATCAATTGGACGATTTCGAGAGAGAGACTATGAAATAATAATGTACTCACACCACGAAAATATCAAGAAATTAAAGATGAAATTACGAAATAGTACTGCGGCGAGCACTCTTCTCTCTACCCTCTTCTCAGTTGCATGTGTACGAACTGAATTATCACAAGTGTCGTGAGATCTCTGCAACACTCGCGAGAAAAATAGTACAAACAATACTATACTCGATTCTTAATATCGGCGAAAATTTCGCAGCACCGATAGTTTTTCGATCGATATGAACTCCGACATATAAAATTTCATTTATTCATTAGAACATACAAGGCCTCTTTTATTACCATCTATGAAGCATAAAGGGACAACTTCTTTCATACATATCGACGATGATATGCGGTCGAATAATCATCCCCCCTTACTCTACGTTATCATCTTACGTCAACGTCTTACGTCACTTTCACGCGAGCGATCGAATTTTCCTCCGTTGCTTTTTTTCTCTCGCGAAACTAGTTGGCGAAAACGAACGCACTGACTCGGCTGTCTAATTACATGTTAATCTTAGATGCTATCGTTGCGTTGCCAGGCGAGAGACATTCGGTCGAAACGTGAAGCAAGGGAAGGAAATTATTTCTTGGCGCATCGTGCCGTCGGCTCTCGTATTTCCATAGGTATCACCAGTACCGGCTCGTTGCATTGCGGCTTGTCCGTGTAGACGGACCATGTTCTCTCGACGCAATCGAAAATGCCTGTGAATTGATAATTTCCCAGTTGGCGAGAACCTACCGCGGACGATTCCGCGAAATGGATTCTGATTCATCCCATAAACGCGGATGAAACAACGTTTTTAATTAGTTTCAATCTCCGGATATCGCGAATATAAATGGACATATTCCATGCATACAAATAAATGACGCAATATTTGTCACCGCAATGACGTCATTTTCAGTAAATACTCGGCGGAATGAAACCCGTATCAGACCGTATCAGCTGTCAGGAAGGAATTGCAGATCAAGGCTCATAATTCAGCGAATCAACTAATTTAAATCCCTCCATTCGCAATCCTCAACCTCTGATACAGCCAGAGTAGGATCCGCTTAGACAGACCTGTTCTAATAAATAGGTTCTTTTGGCTGGCGAAACGTACCTGTGGCGAGCGTCTTGATGCGATCGCTGCGATCGATGTCCTGATAGATCCTGAACTCGTCGTCCGTCTGATCGCTGAGGATATCGATCACGTGCTGACGGCACTCGACCGGCGGGTACTTGGAGATCGCCGCCATCCTCTTCACGCTGCTGCGTATGATCAGTCCTTCGACCTCGGCCACCTTCAGCCGCTGGTATCTGGAAAGTATCGTGGGTGAACTCATGTTTATCGGACGCGTGGGATGCGTACTTGTTGCAATGAGACGTGTTCTCGCCGGGGCTGACGGTGAGGATGTTGAGCTGCGACCGGGCGGCGTCCGCCTCGGCTGGGCCCACTTCGGCGTTGTGAAACATCCGGTCGCCCTCTTGCGCGAGGAACGTCATGTTGACCGAGAAGCCCTCCGCCGCACCGTAACCTTCGTTCCTCAGTGTCTGTTGCGCCTGCACGAAGTTCTCCACGCCCAGCAACGCCCGCGTCAAGAAGTATCGCGCTGCGATACGAGGTAAACATTTCGTAAGTAAGTGCGAGAAATCGGTCGAAGGACCGCGAAAGACTCACGAGTCTTGCCGGATCGCAGGACCGCGGCGCTCAGGGTGTTGATGCTGTAAACGAGGCCGTGGTGATTGAAACCCATCGTGTAACCCGGCAGGAAACCGGCGTAGCTCAGTGACGTGAACTTCTCCTCCCTGTGGCCGACCTCCACGACGTGGGCGCTCACGAGGTACCAGTGGTTCATGGTCTCGTTGTAGGCGTCTTCGTTGTGGCCCAGGATCTCCTGTGCTTTTCGTCAAACGCGTGTCAAACGAAACAAGATGGAACGACGAGTAATGCGTAATAAGGAAAAATCTCAACTCGGACTGATGAATAAATATAAGTCGCAGGTACGTAAGGTACGTTAAATATCAGCGGTGACGACTATATAACGCCCGCTTTGTCGCATCTAGTTACGTAAAACAATGCTCGTATCAGACCGGAGATGAGAGGGAAATTTTGTTCAAACGGATAATACTTCTTCGCGCTGGCATTAACGTTTTACGGTATTAGCCGGTGTTTAGCAGCGATATCTGAATAGATGAAATAGATCGAAATAAATTGAGAACGCGTGTTACACACATGCGTTCGCATATGAAGTAACAAATGACGAGTAATAACACATAGGCTCGGTCGGCGAGAGAGAAAGACGAAAAATTCGATAAGATATGTCCTCACCTCACGGTGAGCTAAGCGCTCATTACATGCCGGGTTACGCTATAATAGTTGGACTTATTGTCACTCTTACTTGTCCCGGTTGGTTGCATACAATGGTCGTGCAGCCGACTGGAAGCACCGTTCCCTGCGCTTCGCCGGTGACGTTCGAGATAATATCGTCGAGATGCATCAGAAACAGCTGCAACGAGAAATTGAAACAATGAGCCCGCTTTCGATCGTCAGTTGTTGAGAAATCGAAGGGCCGCATACCTTAGTGAACGGTACGTTCGCACCGTCCGCAGTGCCCTGAATCTCCCTCACGTACTGCGGAAACTGCTTCTTCGCCGCGTCGAGGGTCTCTTCGTAGACCTTTCTGCCCTCCTCGGTCGCGAACAGCGATAGATAAGTGTTGAGCGGCGGATAGATGTCCACGAAATTCTGGATCATCCTGGCGAAGGTGCGACCCTGCGCAGGCAAAATTTTCATTTCAAGGCATGAAAGCGCTTACACGGAAAGATGCAATTATAAGACACGATGTGTAATAAGTCACAGTCGGGAAACTTGTTTTCGTAATGAGTGCTAATATAATGCGTATCGTTATCGCAACTGTTTTGCTCGGACATAAAAAAGTTAACATTGAAAATGACCGTCATTATCGAGAAATGATTAATAGACGGAAAATAGCATATTGCTTGTCAATTTAGATCTCGTTATTGCTCGTGATTTTCAACGGATTTCGCGGGATTCCGGCGGGGTAAAATTAGCTGAACTCGGAGCGAGTGTATCGATTGCCCGTAACGTCGCGTGATCGTGTATATATGTACGGCAGGAATTTAATCCGAGTGAACGTCGTCGCAACGACTACCGTCCTCCTTTCCTCGTTCCTTCCATTCCCGATTATCCGCGCGTACTTTTATTAAATCGTCGAGCGATAACTTACACGCGAGATATATGGAAATTCGTTTCTCCGATTCGAATACACACGACCGAGAAATTGCAAGCTCCACTGGCGACAGAGATTTACATGTCACTTATGCTCGATAAGAAGAATGCCGTCGCCGCTGTAAATCTAATTGACAGGTGTTCATTAATGTCTCTGTTCAATTCGAGACCTGAATTAAAAGAGACAGAACGCAACGACATATTCGTTTGCTCATTAACACTTTACCGCCCGGAACAGCTTTTCTACAACTACTTTTAATATGAACATTTGAACATTTTCCTCGACGTAGTTTGGAACGTAGCCAATGTTAAATAGAACTTGTTTTTGATTCATTCTCAGCTTCGAGAAAAGTGGCATCGACAAAAATGGATTTCCAATCGTTCTCGTCGACCGGTGATCAATGACGTTTGCAATGTTTTCCGGCGAAAAAGAAAACGCGAGCTGTTTTCCGAAAGTGACGAATTACGAGGTGCACCAAAAGTGGCTTAAGTTCTAGTGTTGCGTACAGCAAAATAGCAGATAAAGTCTTACGATGTCGAAGCCAATCTCATAGTGGGTGCCGCGAACGTGAATTATAGGAACGGTGTTCCTGCGGACCATGTCGCAGCTGACTGTCGAATTGGTTTTATACACTTCGTTCATTACGGATGCCGTGTCTTCGTTCTGGAAGATAACACGCTCGACTGGTAAGACGCAAGACTGACTGATGAATTAACCCTGCGAAACAGACCAATATGTAATGAAAATGCAAGAAGCTATATCACGTGAACGTTATTATTAATCGCCGAACATTGTTATAATCTCTTTTCCAAATTAGCAGATAAATTTATATAAAAATAATTGGCCCGATAAGCCAGCGAATGCTAATAAACCGAGCGATTGCGCGTCGCATTAAAAAGACGAATCGTTGCTCGATTGTGCTGAATACTTCACTTGTGTGTACATTCGATTTTGTGATAAAAGGCTGACTTCCTTCGCGCAAACAACGGCGCGAACGCCGTCAAAGAATCGATATCGCAGTTTACCGCGGAATAATTATGTAATTTCGTCCCTGTAATTCCCCTCCGCCACGAGATACACTATTAAGATAGGAAGTTTTGCACATACTGAAGAGATACCGAAACATTTGTACGCGACATTTAATTTTTATAAACTTTACGAATAAGAGCGTGATTTGGTTCTTATATTTTTTTTTTTTAATAATCAACTTCGTGTATCGCTTTTTTGGCAAATCTAGAAAAAAAACTTACACAACGCAGATGACTTTAATTTTGATACGTGTTGTAGAAGCGATCTTTTATAGTTCCTGAGATATATTGAAAATGTATGATAAAAAGGGAAGAACGACAATTACGTAGGATAACTTAGAATGATATTTTCTCGCGATATCTCGCACATTTTACTGTATTTAAAAATAGATAAGATGTAGTACATTTTTTTTATTATTATAATTGTGTTATCAACACACTTTACTGAACGCGTGTTATCAACTGGATTTAACTTATAAGCCAACAGACGCATACATGAGTTTCTAGCTATCCTCGAAAGTGAACAACAAATTCCAACGAAAAACGAAAGTAAGGTGAAAGAACATGAACTGTTTGTGAACTGTATATTCATCGATTTATCACATGTCTTTAACTGAAAAAGATTTTAGAAACTATAAGAGAGCGCCGCCAGATTCACAGTGAAGTTTTATTCAGAAATTAATTCTTTACAATATATATTAAAGTCAAGGTCATCTCTTTTTCGTTAAGACGCGAAAAAAATGTGGCATCGAGGATGATCTGTAATTAGCGATAAACTAACAACCTTTTCTCTCAGCGGTGCGAACACGCGTGCGGACGCCTATGAGGAACAAATACATCGTGAGCCGCCGCGGGTTTTTCCTTTCGCGGAATCACTTTTACTTTTCTTCTTACAAAAACCGTGAACAGACGTGAAAAGCGAAAGATGCAAGAGAGATAAGCGGAAAGTCCCGAAAGAAACGCGTTACCTCTGTAAGACTCGATCCAAAAAGAGCGTCGAGGAGCGCGACGATCCTTGCACGCAGATAACGAGACACGGTTTTCTTTCGCTGATAAATAAATATCATCTGTTATCAGGCAAACTGACAGACGTCGCGGCGATAACGATGGGGATCGCGACGTGACTGACGACGCGGGTCTTCGTTTCGCGACGAGGAAGACTCGCGAAACTTTATAATCCAGTTGGATTTTATCGCGTTAGATCGCGGACGGTGGGGGTGGCGGGTGGTTAACGCGGCGCGCGCGCGCGCGGTGCTTACCCGCGAAGAGGGGAAGAAAAGAATTAAGATTTCCCGACTATTCCCGAGAGCGATTACCTTGAAGCGCCACCGATTATCCGGCGAGGTCCGGGAAGCGAGATCCGACAGTCGCCGAAGAACGACGAGAAGGTGGAACACGGGGCGTTTGTTCTCAGCATACACCGCGCTGTTATCGCTTTATCTAGATGCGAATGCAAAGTACGACATCTGCAGAAATCCCCGCTCGATCGGGGAAGAACATGTTCCTCCTCTTCGTCTTTTCGGCCGCTGCGGATCCGCGTAATCTCTCCTGCGAAAATCATTTTGTGAAGAAACCGCAATGATATTCGAGAGAAACGAGAATTCTAACGTTTCACATCGCGAGTAAGATTGTTCCTCGATTATTGGAAGAAGATTCATCCTTGCGGAAGGGAGAATAGGGAATTCTTGCAACATCGTCAAATGCGGTAAACGCTAAAGTGCGTTCCGATGTTCACTGCCAGTACTGCAAATTTACAGTTTGTGTCGTGTATCTATAGACTTGAAGTGTTGGAATATGCATTTTAGCGTTCATCGTAAATCGGAAAAACGTTATTACAACAAACCCCCTAAACAGCGCGATAAACAAATTGTATTTACAAGACGAGTTAACTCGGCTGCACATATACAGACGCGTTATCACACCGTTCTTAATAACAAAGACGACAGACGTCAAAGTCTCACATGCGCTCATGTTGCATCTCGCGTCGGTTATTGCTCGTCCTTGCGCGCGTAATCGTCGCTGTAATTGCGATCAATTCAGTATGAGAGCGAATACGGGTGAGAATTCGCGAAAGGAAAGGATTACCCCATCGCGTTAGAAATTGGAAAAGGGTTCCGTTTATGGAGCCGCGTCGATTTCCTTTTCTTCTTGCGCGACGACTCTGGCACCGAATAAGTCGACGATATTCAACGATACGGAGCGAGTCGCAGAAATATCTTAATCCAAGGCTCCTTCGAGAGATATGTGCTCAAGGAAAATATATATCGCCATATAGACATATATGCATTTTCTCATATCTATCGACAATAGAAGTCTCTCTCTCTTTATCGCCTCCTTGTTTTTCGCAGCGCGCGTGCTTCTTCGCGCACAGCTATATCGGGAAAAGTATCGGGGAGTCATCCGCCGCCTTTGTCTCCGTGAGTATTTATGTGAGTACTCCATGAGTACGTATGCGAAACCCGTGGGAGAGAATTGTGTCGCTGATTACACGGTTCGAGTCACGTAGTTTTTGAGATAATTACTAATTAGACTTTTATGCGCGTTGAAAAATAGTCCTTGAGGATCGAACGGGGTATGATGTCAAGTACAGGTTCATCGCGAATTCACACGCAATTTAGCCGTGTTTGAGCGTCGGGAGGACAAAAAGAAAGAAAACACGTGGCATGTATCAAAGTTGTTCCGATGTTGAGATAAATTTAACCTACGCAGCTACGACATCTATCCTGTTGTAATGACTGGTCTAAAATATTCAAGTCCGTGTCAACAGTCAACTTAACATATTTATTTCGCATGAGACAAGTTTCAAGAAATGGCTATTAATACGTGCCTATATGACAACAACGTTAAATCGTGAAACGAGAAAGAAAACATAATGAATCGTGTAATTATCGACGTGATACAAGCGCGAAATGTTCGAGGTTCATACAAGTTGTGACGGATCGGGGATTTGTGCGGCTTCCAAATTCTTGCCTATTCACGCGTTAAATAAATTATCACCTATTTTACTTGGCTTCCGTAGACGCGAGAGGTCATGCCGGTTTAAAGATCTCGTCGTTCACGGAATTCGATATAGTAAAGCGAGTGCATTGCACGCGCGTACGTTCCTTCTCTCCTTACGCGTGTTAAGTTTCGCCTTGTGTCGTTTCTACATGTATTAAATTACAAACGTTAATGCCGGACTTGGATGCAAAGTGAATAACTATTTATCTCGTGGGTAGGTATTGGTAGCTAGTACTTTTTACAAAATGGAATTAGTTGGTTTGGCAGCGAAAAAGAGAGAGAGAGAGAAAAAGAAAGTGTGTGTGTGTGTGTGTGTGTGTGTACGCGCGTGTGTGTCACAATTTCAAAAGATATCTTTATTTTTACTGAATAATTTCTTAAGCGAAAGAAACAATTCCAAAGATACGCGACAGCTTTTATTCTCTCCGAGAAAGCTGTAAGATTAAATATCTACAGACCTACGATTTATATAATAATTAAATTTTTATTAAACCAACAACATGTTACATCCTTCACGAAAATAAAAATGTACAATTGATCGGGATAAAGCTTAACAATCAAGCTAAAATCGCCTATTGACCCATGTGGACACAGGTATCAACGCATGTACGTAAGACGGCTGTAAAATCTGCTTAAAATAATAAAATGTATCTTTTGGATTTGCGTTCAAGACAACGCACGATTTACAAACCTTCAGTTGTATCGAAAATCCAGCTCGTCCGAGCTATTCCACGTAAAATTGCAAAAGGAAATTCTTTCCATCTTTCTCGCATTATGCCATGAATTATGGAACCTCTCGAGTAAATTTTATAGAGAAGGAAACACAAAAAGTGACAGCCGCGCCCGACTCAGACAATTACATATACGTTGAACGAACGCTTATTCGACAAACAGGCGATCCGTTTACCTTTTGGTCCTTTCGAAAATCCCAAATGTGACCGTTCAATTGATTCCGAGCGCTCTGTCCGAATAGTCTGCGCTATAACTGAAGCTCGTCTCAAAGAGAGACACTCAGATCTAAGTTTACAGTCAGTCAGAATGTCTTACGCGAGACACTTTTCAAGCAAGGACCACCGGTACAGGTCTACGAGGTGAAAACCTTCAACTTAAGAATAATAACCGAGCGTAACTCGTTACATTAACCGGAGCCTACGGTAAAACGGTAAAAGATAATACGCTGTCGTCTCGTTAAACACACGGATGTGCATCTCGCACTCATCGTCGCAGAAGATAAAACGTTTCTTTTTCAACAAAAACGAACTGTGTGTAGCAGGGCACCTCGCCTCCTTAGCAGTAAAAAACACTTATAAACGACGCGGAGAGGAGGCGAGGAAGCCCTGAACGTTGCGTGGAACAGGTCGTTTCTGCATCGTGAAAGAAGAATTGAACGGCGACAGTCCCTTCTAAAGCGCGTCAATGGTAGGTAATCGCGCGACAGAGAGAATGTTCGCTCAGTCTTGTGTACAACATGCACTCTCGCGCTCACGGAGAATATATATATATATATACTCTCGGTAATGACCGAGAGAGAAAGCACAGCCGTCCAATTTCGTGGAGAGTAAAAACAATTGGAAAAGAACATTACAAAGTCGCGTTAAGGTTGTCTCGTTCGTTGCGCGGCTATCCGCTCGCTCCGCCGTGGTGGTGGTTGTGGTTTTACTTTGATCTCTTTCTCCGGTCTCCGGTCATTCAGGGCATTCATCTCGTCGCACATGTACCGCCACCTGACCATCTTACAGTCCCACTGTAACAAGACCAGCCAAACGATGCGTCAATGTGTGCTTCGCAGTAACGTCGGAATAGATCTTACTTACAGACGTGGAGACGATGTAAGGATAGAACGGGTGCCAGCTAACGTCACGAACACACATTTCATGAGCGAACAAGTTACGCACTATCTTCCCCGTCAAAATGTCGTATACTGAAATCGGGAATCGTGTGTGATCGAATTGTTCGTCGACGTAGCGACGGTTTTCCCTTCACGTAAACGAGAAACTTACTGTAGACTCGACCCATCGAACATCCCGTGTAAATGTATCTTTGACCAGTGGTGGCTGCTGGTGAGAAGTGACAACGGATCAAAGTCTCTCGGACGCAGTGGCCGCGAAACGTCATGACACTGGTGTCGCCATCCATCGGTTCCTTCGCTCTGCGCACTGAAAAGCACTCTTTCAAGTGAAACATCGAACACCGGCTGACTCTTCTCTTTCTCTTCACCATCTTTCCCCCCTTGAGCGAGCAACTACTTACATCGTTTAGGTACATGCTGCCACCTATAGTCCCAGTCCAGGTCCCTGATAGCTTTGCGAGTGTTCATCATGCCAATTTTATTGGAAAGCGCGCGAATGTCCCATAGCTTGATGGTTTGATCTTTAGAATTAGTGATTAAATACCGGCCGTCACCACGGGAATCAATGTACGTGATTCCGTCTCTATGACCTGCTAATGTTCCAACCGCTATCGGGTTAGCTGCGTTCACCGTTCTCCTGTCCCATACCTAAACACAGTGAAAATGGACGTAGTGCGAGTCTTCAATCTCTTAGCGATACTCGATAGCGTTGAAGAGAAGAAAAAAAGTCGAATCGGGTGTACCTTGCACAATCCGTCATCGCCGGCGCTGTAGAAAATCTGCGAGGATCCGTCGGCAAACGCAACAGAGTTTACATCGTCACCGTGTCCTTCGAACTACGCAAACCAAGCCAGTATTACAGTTTGAACACGCGCCGCAAACACGCGTAGTCTCCCTTTTATGATTCTACAAACCCGCGATATTCGCTGATTGCTTCCGCGGTCGTAAAAATAGAGGTAACCTGAGTTCGCGCCACCCAGAATTTCGCGGCCGTCGTTAGAAAAAACCAGGGAGAACACGCAAAACCGTCGCACTCCAGGATTCAATGACAGCATTTCTTGCGTAGAAATTTCTTTGGACACGGAACATTGATACACTAGCGGAAGAAAGAAAGGAAAAAAAGCATAAAGATAAATGGAATCATCCAATCTCGGTGATACTTACAACATTCAGACCAGCTTGAATACACGATGTTCTCGCCGTCTGGGCTAAATGCGGTGTCCAAAACGCTCCAGCCAACATCCCGCGCAGGTATTGTTTTAAGTATATTGAATTCACCATTATGTGTATGGTATAAATGCAGGACTTTATCTGCCAAGATTACATACGATTAGACACAGGATAAATTAGATTTGTTGCGAAAGCGATTCTAAGCATAATATTTTCTTGTATATATTGTGCTAGAAACAAGCATTATACCTTGGCTGGCAGTAAGGAAGAACTTTCCATCATTGGAGTATGTACCACAGAATATTTTACTCTTGTGGTTGGATATCAGATCAAACCTGTTGGGTAGCAAGTTATTATTTATACAACATTTCTCAATTGTATTAAAGGCAGATCCTATAGTTCTCTTCTGTATCATGGATACGATTGATGTATTCTGTTTCCTGGAACTGTCGGTTATTTCACATGCCTGTTTGATAGCGAAGCTTATCTCTTTTTTCTGAAAAACATCGCATAAAGTTACTGACATATAATTGCGCGTGAACACAGAATGTTGTAAATACCACAAGATATGCATAATGCAAGAAACCTGAGAGTAACAAGAGATAAATCCATGTCAAAAAATGTTTAATAGCTCTTTTTTTCTAAATCAAAGCATCATCAAAAGAGAGAGAGAGAGAGAGAGAGAATTCTTGCTGTTGGTAACTCACATCTAGCCTGTTTGCGTTTGAAACGGAGGCTTGTTGCCGCTGCAGGTCGTCATCAGGTTCGACATCGGATTCATCGGACACTCCATTCAATAAATGAGAACTACTGAAACACACGATAATGTCAAAAAGATACGACGATGACCCTGCTGTTGCTCAGCGTAGAGGTTATGTTATTGACAGGTCGTGCAAGGTGTGACGTACGATGGTGTCCGGTTGTCTCTCCGTAAGAGAGGCGATGAAGAGAAGATTTCGACGAATCTTCTCTCTCTTTTCGGTGCCTTTCAAATAATGGAAGAACGAGATTGAAAGAGAGAGAGAAAGAGAGAAAGAAAAAGTGCGAGGAAGAAGGGAAAGAGGAGAGAAAAAGAGAGAGAGAGAGAGAGAGAAGGAGGGGGAAAGAGAGAAAGGACCAGGGATAATAGTATTGCATGATAGCAAGAGATGGTTGCGTGTATGCGAAAGAATATCCGAAAGCGAGGAAGAGAGAAAGGAAACGAAGAGCGGCAGAACGAGAGAAAAAGCGACAGAGAGAGAGAGAGAGAGGTTAGGAAAATAGCGCGCGCGAGAGAGCAAAACGGCGGCAGCGGAGGGTGTAGCGGGGGAATCAGTGGCAATCACGCGGAGAATACCATGTAGCTAACCTTCGTCTTGAGTAGTGCAGGAGAAAGATGAAGTCAGGATCGCAAACGGAGTCCATTGTGCGAGAACTGATACCACCCATGCAAAGAGAAATTAATGATATTTACAGTCGAGAGAAACCGAACGAGAGAGAAGTGTAGAAGGGGGTTGATCAATCGGTCGGTCGGTCAGTCCGTTGGTTGGTCTGTCGGTTAATTGGTTGACGTTGATAACGACGGTAATCACATGCACCGCCACCAGTTAAATCTCGCTTTTCGCATGGCGTGCTGTCAGGTGAGTTTTTCCAACTGTGGATAAAAGGTGACCGGGAGAGGAGTCGATACTTTTTCGAATTTTGATGTGTAAAGCTTTTCATACAGTTACCCATATAGTACAAATATTCGGTAGACATTCCAGGAACATCTCAGAAATATTCGAATATCTCTAAAACGTTCTTAGAACCTGTCTTTTGAACATTCGTGATATATGGATAGTCGCGATTAACTATATAAAGACGATAGGAGCGATCTTTATGTTTTTTACTCCAAGTACGAATCCTTGAAACCGTATGTTTTTTTTCAGTAATAACCGAAATACAAACTTGTTGCACCGATATTGGAATAGATTGATAGGGAGGAAGCGATTGACAGGAATGGATTTGCCGTATCAACTTGCCCCGAAATCACGACACACTCGAAAATATATCCGGTTGCTTTTGAATCGGATTCCTTTCTCATTTTCACTTGCGATACTTTTATAACTTCAGTGAAACAGTAATGTGCGGGAAATATCTGTGTTTCGAAAGAAGCAACTCGCGATTTATTTTTCACCATTTCTCTATCACAGTAAATAAACGTAAATGAAACGTAAGGCCAATTTCATGGTCCTCGGTTTCTCTTTTGCTACCTCTTTCGTATTTTCTCAGTGTCGGTGCATCTTTTTTATATCTTTTACAGCAGAGCTTTTTCCTCACTTTTCATCTCGCCTGCATTTAACGCTATTTTATCACGCTGTTTCGCGCAGCTTCCATTGAAATGTCTAAAAAATATCGCTTACCTGCGTGACGTGCAAATACGTATAGATAAATAAATATTGTTTCGCGTGCTAAATATGCATGTCGAATGCGTACATACGCCGTTCGCGTTTACGTACGAGTTTCGAGTCATTCGCAAATTCTTCGTCACAATGACGTGTTTCTCCAAGGTTCCAGCGATATTGGTTCGCGATCCGCGTTTTCCTTGATTACTCTTTTATATATATTATTTTCTTTTATTTACTTCATTGTACAACTATACTTTTTGATCTCGCGGAATATAAATTTTTTTATCGATTTTACTCATTATATTGTATAAAATGACATTTTGGATAAGCCTGCATTTAAATCTTCGTCAGAAATCGTGCGCAGAGAAAAAGATTTCTTTGGGTTTATATAGTGTATGAGCGTGTATGAGCGTGTTCTAAAGTTTCAGATAAAGATAAAGAGATAACCAAGCGCGGATTGAAGTACGGTTTATTAAAAAAGTTGAAGCCCCGGGATAGACATTTTTAAGAGAAGTTTATGTAACAAGAATGTGCAATTCAGGCCATACCGCTGCTGAAGAAGCTTAGAATTTAATACGACCGGAAAACGATGATTAATTCTGCGTTGCAACGATTAGCGCGGTTAGTTCCGCGACTGGGACGTGGGTATTATAACGATGTCGGAGCAATACCGCGACGTGCCGTATTTTGAAAAATGAATAAAGTGAATAATGACTCAACATGCTTGTTTCATTTCTCTCCGTTCGCCGCAACGACCGTCATTTTCCGAACGCATATTTTTCTCCGTTTTCCGATTATTATCTCAAGGTACAGCGTCTTTCTCTCTCCCTCTCGATTTTGCGTCATAACGTTTTAATAAAGCATCGTTCGATTCACGTTCCGAGATTTAGCCTGTTAAAAACCAAAAAAAAACGGTTCTTGTAGAGCGCACACATATGTATAAACAGGTCGATAAAATCCTGATATTTTATCCGCAATTGACTGTCCGTTTGATGAAAAATACGACCATTTTTGTCGTAGAGGTAATAATACGGAATTGAGAACGCGAGTTGAGGCGAGAGATAAAACAGGAAGAACATGGAAATGAATAAAGAAACACCGGTGAGATCTTCGGTCTCGTTGAATCGAATTAATCGCCGCGTCAGAAATAAAAATTCGACGACGGAGCGATAGCGTGTGATAAATTGGACACAATCGAATGATGCGTGCGGAAAGAAAGTGAGTATTTCGTTCGTGTTGGAAGTGACCGCGAGAAATCGCCCGTCACCGCCGTCGATGATGCATCATCACCTTCGACCTTGTCGATCGCGGGAGTGCTAATAGCGTTAGCAAATGTTGCGCCGCTATTTCCGATTGTCCGCGCGTACACCCGTGCCACCGAATCGATCTCGCATTCAACGAATAATAAATTCGCGGTGAACTTCCGTTCCGGAAATGTCGAGGCGCAGTAACATTCGATGAGCTGAGCCAAACGAAGGAGCCTCTCGGGAGGGTCGAGAATCACGGAGCCGCTCGACGGAATTTTAATTTCAGCCTAAGCCGATAAGAGAATATTTAATATTGACACTCGGAAAGCACCGACGAGAGTAATATTTATGGGCCCACTCTCGAAATGCTATTCGCTCGTTCCGCGTATTATATTAATTTTACTGTTTATTCACGTGGAATTTCGAGGGGGTGAGGGCGAACGCTCGTTTTGCCACCTACGCTCCTCGTTGTTAATCGCCGGAGATCGCAACCTTACGTCGAGCGACACGAACAGAGAGAATCCAAGAGGAGCGTATTTGAGAGAGAGAGAGAGAGAATTTAATTGAATTCAAATCGAATTAGGTCAACGGGGCGCGACTTCTCGAGAGCGACCGAAATCTTATTAGGAGATATAAATTCGCCGTAGTCGACAGGAACGCCGACGGGAGGAAGGAGGGAAACGAATGAACCGGATATGTACAATAGGCGACGCGTCGCGACACAATAGCATAATCACGAGTGAAATTAGATCGGTCGTTTATCGATCGGTTCGTTGACTCTCGCGAACCCCGCTACAATGCGGAGCGACGGATAAAATCAGAGTGATACCCGGGCGTGACTGTCACGTGTCGTTCGACGACGAGTGACGTCCGAATCCGCGGCGAAATTCTCCTCGAAGGGCGTCGCGCGGCGAACGAAAGACGAGACCGTAATTCCGGACTTGCGTCATTCGCGAGAAACCAGACCTCTCTTTCTCGCTCTCGTTAACCTTCCGAACTCGCGTCAGCATTCTGAAGAGTCATAATAATAGACACTGCGAAGAAGAGGCACAATCGTCCGCGACGCGATCACAAAGTCGAATCGATTCTGCCGCTCGTTACGTATTTATTTTCGCGCCGCGATAATGGCATCAGGTGTGCCTCGAAGGGATAAACCGTCCCCGAGATTGCGTTTACTCAACTCGCGAAATTCCGGACAAGATCGCTCGGCCGCTTTCTCCTCGCTCGCCGAAACTTTCGATATCGGAGGATTTCGATTATCGAGCTTCTTGTCTCATCCTCGTTACACGTGTAATTCCCAATTGTCACGTCATTGTCGATTAGGAGGGACAGGTTTGCAAATTGTTCCGCAGAATTTCGCTGTTGGGACAATCAGTCCAATTGATTGCCCTTTTTGAACGATCAATTGTAATTGACTGCACAAAGATGACGATCTTTCCCCGTGTTCTTATGATCGTCAGGGACGATCCGTCAATTATATGTTTTTCTTTTCTACAAGAACCGAAATAATTTGTCCAATTTTAATGAAACCCATCTTCAAAGGGAGAACATTTCGCGATTCCTTTACGACCGAATCTCTCACAATAAACTATGAATGAAACGCAACGTGCCGTCCCTCCCCTGCGTAAAGGACGCGAAACGATGCGAATCGGGAGGACGAGCTGCATCGCGACCTACTCGGCGCTTTCGGCCGGTCATTCAGTCATCAGGTCGAATCGGCGGTCGAGCGTATCGATGGTTTTTATCGGTGCCACCGCGAGAGGAAACGGGAGCAACCGCTATCTCATCCCCTCCGTCTCCTCAACCATATATGTATGTCCTAGCTATCTACCTACCTAACCAACTATACCGGCCAATCTACCTGCAGCCCAGACCTATAATTTCCAGGCTAGAGGCCTACACCCTGGCCGGGCGAGGACCTGAGCGGAGGAGCCAGGCTAGGCGTAGGACGCGCACGCGCGTATCCTTCGCCGCCGCCGCCGTCGACGTTGACGTCGTCGTTGACGGCGATACGAAACGCGCGCGCTGCTGCTGTCGGTGGTAGTTGCCAACGGGGGTGAATGAGGGAAGGGGCCTGTTTACAGGATAACAGGATCTTCTTCGGTCGCGCCAGTGTGTCCGCGAGAGACATCACGGCGCATCGGCGCGGCGTACAACGGGCGCGTACCACCCGCGCTCGACAACTCGCCGCCGCCGTCGTTCACCCCCCGTAAAACGTGAAAGATCGGCCACTCTCTTCTACGCTACTGCGGCTCTCTTCTCCTCCTGTTCCTCTCGTCAGCCTTTCGTTCAACAACCATCGCCGCTGTTTATCTATCTCGTCTTTTTCTACTTCCACGTTCGCCGCTAAATGAGAGAGGGTCTATGAGTGCGGTGTGCTCGCGTGTTTCCCGATATCGTTCGGCAACAGGTGAGTCTCTCGCGCAACCCTCTCCGCCTCTGTTTGTCTATCCGTATGTCCTCGCGTTGTGCATTCTTTCGCCACCGTCTCGTGTGTGTGTGCGTGCGTATCTCGTTATTGGTCGTCCTTGCGTCATCTCGTTTCGTCGAAGATCTTTCTTCCTTGCCCGCGATCTTTTGCGACACCTCGCAACGTCTGATGTGGTTTCGTATCACAGGGAGAAAGAGCGTTCGTGCGTTGGAAGAGATTCGACGAGGAAAAGCGGGAAAAATTAGGGCTGAGAATTACGGGCGCGAGAATCGGAAATGAAATTGGGATCGTTCGTAAGGATGACAGGCCGCCGCCGCTGGCTGCTACTTGAGCTCCTCTCGCTTCGGGGCGAGGGTCGCCGAAGATCGGATCAGAGGGGTGCGTTCGTTCGCAAACGTTAAAGGCTCGCGCTTATATCGATTTACTGGAGGATAACGCCCGTTAAAACGTCGATTCACCGGCGGAAACTCACGGCCATCCCAATTCGTCGCAGACAAGAGAGAGAGAGAGAGAGAAAGAGAGGAGGAGAAGAGGAATGTTTTCTCGCGACGGAGAAATCGGGCAGGGAGGGAAAGAAGAACAATGAGGAAGGAAGGAAGGAAGGAAGGAAGGAAACGAATGCGAGACTCCGAGCGAAGGACATCTCCCATCGAGAATCGTATTTCCTGCACGGAAAGTCTTTCGAGGAAGGGGAGAGAGAGAGAGAGAGAGAGAGAGAGAGAGCGAGAAGGGGATGCAACATATATACATATATTTGTCCGTCACCTCTATCCCTCTTTCCTTCACTTGGCTTTCAACCGGCTCTCTCGTCCCTCTGTTATTCGGTCGGCCCTTCCAAAGGATTTCACTTATCTCGCGAAAACGGTCGTATTGCGTTACATATGTTAGGGGAGAGTTAGCGATTGAGTCCCTTCCTTCATAAAATATCGTCGGAGATACGTGAGAGGAACATCCATGAATTTTTCCATCTCCTTTGTAAAAAATACAATCAATTTTTTTTTCCACGTTTTTTTTTTACGAACATTCGATACGTGGCTCAGCATGATCGCGTTGCACACGACGACGAATCTTTGTGTCTCACTTCTCTCACTCTCCTAAATTTAGTCCTACATTTCATCTCGTTCAGCATATAGGACATTTCGATGTTGGGTTTCCAAATTCGTTATCCATGCGGTGTTATTTAATATCACGGACGCGCACAATACTATTCGCAAATTGAGCTGCAAATGAGTAACGAGACCTCGTTTACGCTTACAAGTTGAAACGAAACTTTCAATGTTGATAATTAAAACTGTTGCCATTCATAATGGCTTCGGACGGATTCAATTCCACATTCAAAGTATCCCGTGGGCTTCGGAGCGTTCTGTACGTACGGAGAAAAAAAATTAATTAAGCGAAGCATACAAAGAGGTTTCGGATTAAATTCCCACAAAGGAAAAATCGTAGATCGTAGATCACGACGTGTCTGTCTGTGCAAAATTAAACGAAGGGAATTGAACCGAAAAGAATTATCTCCTACAAAATGGAACATCCAATAAATGCGAAAGACATTTTTCATTCTCATGCACTTTGAGAAAAAAAATAGTTAATTTCGTTACAAGTTACAATTATTTTCGGCGTCAGCTGTAACATCAAACAAAACATTTTCCTTTTAGTGCATAATGTGTCTACAAACAATAATAAATAAAGCTTTCAGGAGCAATTCGGTCTTATCGGAAATCATGGAAGAGTATTTAATATTCGAAATTGAAGATTGGATTGTAGAATTCTCGACGTTTGCTCAGTATTCCCAATATATCACGCAATAAATGGTGACGATGTAACATATTTTTTTCTCATCCTGATTAATGGATTAAAGTCTCTGTTAACTTCCGATTATTCGAGCGTAAAAATAAAACGGATATACGCAAATGAAAGCGGGAATACACGAAAATAGAGTCATGACAATTTAATTCTCTATTTCGAAAATTTGACACACACGAGTGCACCGAACGGATCACTATCGGCTCTCTCTTTCCGATACGCCTATTACTAATACTATGGCTGAGGAATTAAAGGCCTCTCTTTTAATTTCGCGATCGTTCCGTCGGGAAACAGACTAAATAAATTGAAATATTTCAAAAAGAAGCAGTAGAATGCAATTCAAAGATTTTGGATTTTTGAAGCGGTGGAACTTCGCGATTTCACAAGCGGATGAATGAGTTTCTACCGATTCACATATATCCCTCACAGAGACGAAAATTTGAACGTGAATCCGCACATAACGAAGCAGCAATCGCGAAATAGTTTGAAAAAAAAACGTCACGACCAGTTAAAATCAGTGAGCTCGACATCTCGCGCTGCAATTGCGAAAAAACATGGTAGCTCTCGCATTCGTACATTGAGAAAAAAAAATGATCACCAACATTATAATCATTTTCGGCATCAAACATACATTTGAATTGCTCTGATAAGAAAGTAGAAATAACAATTTGCATGTCAGATTATTATCTATAATTATTTCACTGTGCAATTTAAGCCACGAACACCAAATATTTTTCCTTCAGGGTAGACACAGATCTATCCTTATTAATGCAGGTTAATAGTATATAGGCAGATCACACGACGTGGCTGCGGTTATCTAGATCTGCGGGTGTTC